CTGATACAAATTAGTACAGGATACAAAACCACGGATCAAATAAAGTTACGTGGACTGTATATTTAATTCTGGCAAGGTGCAGAAGAAATTAGGTGCAGCAGCAAAACAAAGGAAGCTTTTCAATAAGAGATGCTTCTTAGTGTAAATTAAAATGAGTTTTGCATAATTAATGCATTTTCACTGATTATCTGGAGCTCAAGTCCATAGAAAAATGGCACAGGAAGCTAATAGAGCAAGAACAAGTTAGACGCCAAGGCATTTGTCTGCTCCCCAAAATAGCTTCTATATTTATGCCCAAATGCTCACTAAATCTGGGCTAAGATGTTTTACTTCTCCCAGATCAAGCTCCCTAGAAGTAATAGTTTCAAATATTAAGCTCCTTCATAAGAAAGGAGCCAATAAACCATGACCAAGCTAATTCTGACTTTCCATAAAATCTCCTGAAATATTAAATCTGAACACAGCTATGGAATCTCTCTGAACATATGTAGGAAGGAGAAAGCAATTTCTACTTTTTAAACTACTTTATATTTTTTCAATATTTTTAGAGCTTTTTACTGTTCTCTTTTGTGGCTCTATATGAAAACACCTAAAATATCATTAAAGCAAAAGGAAGATAGGCCTAATCTGTCTCTATCCCACTCCCAGGATGTCCTTATATGCCTTTATGGCCACCCTAGTTTGCAGTTTTGTAGGGAATAAGTCAAAAGTAATGGGTAAATCAGGTAAATGGGTATTGAGAAAAAAAATGAGTCTTACATGGAACAGTTAGAGAGATTTTAATGAAATTTTCAAAGAAATGAATACAGCCAATTAAATTGTCTTTTCCCAGGCTGCATTTTGACGATGTAAGCACACTACACAGAATTCTTATTGGTTAAAAGAGACAGAAAATTTCTAACAGGATATTGAAATAGAAAGTCTCTAACAAAAATAAACTCTAGCATTCCCAAGCACTGCTAAAAAAAAACCCCAAAAACAACACCAAACCAGAAAAAGGAAAGCAGTGCTTTGCTTTTTTGACTAGGAAGAAATATGGAAAAAAAGTGCAGTGAAGTCTAGAAAAAGAATGTCCTGAGAAGTGGGACTGACAATGAGCTTTTGACTGACTGCCCAGAGCTGTGACTCTGTCTTTTCTGTTGCTTGGCAACTCCATGTTATCACAAAGAAACTGATATTAAGTTGGAACAGGCTGGATATGGTAATTTACGTGGGAAGATACTCTTGCAGTGGGAAAACCATTTTATTTCTAGTTTCTGTCAGCATAAGTAGGTTTCACATGATGAACTGGAGTACATCCCCTGCTGGGTGCATTTTACCTAAAAAGGTAAAGAGTGACTCTGCCTTGGAAAGAGGCTGTGCAGAAAAAAACAAAACCAAAAAATCCCCCACCTTGTTATTCATTAGACCTGCTCCTAGTGTCTACTCAGACATTTCTTCTAGTGCTAGTGACAAAAGCTTGTTTTCATATTTGTGTGGATTTAGTGCAGATTAGAGAGATGGAACTCATTATCATTTATACCATCACATTCCCTAAGAACTCTTGAGATTTGCTTAAGACCTCCCTGTCTTATATAAACATTAGAAGATGACCCTCACTTTAGCTGAATAGTCTTTTCTTTTGCACTGGTAATAGTTAGGTGCTAAGTTTCAACTGCGCTTTATTTCTTCCTTGTTGAAAGAAGACACTGCATGTGCAGCAGCTACAGAATAATTTGAAGACTGTGATAGAAACTGTCATTCAAATTTGAATTTGTCTAATATTGTATGGCTTGGAAAGGTGTCTATTGAGTTATATGGAGAGAACAGCAAGCAAATAATTTTGTAAATATATATAAAGCAAATAATTTTGTGAAAGTTTAGAGCCATAAGAGACATGTAATCCATAATGATATTTTTATGTATGGGTTTAGGTCTAAGATTTAATTAGAAAAAGAGAAAGCACAGAAGATTCAGGATTTAATACAAAGCCCTTTTTTGTGAAATGTCTGATTTACTCATAACTCTATTGAACTACTAGCACAGTCTCTCTGCATATCTGTCCTGCATAATTCCTAGTAATTTAATACCATCATGCAGTCCTACAAGTAAGGCAGTACTTCACATGTCTTCAGGACTCCCTGTTCTGGCTTTGGTCAGCAAAACACTTCCTGGCTCCAGGCTTCTCTGTACTGCAGAGTTAACTTGAAATATAACTCAGTTTGTGCTCTTGGCTCAAATCCCAACCATATACAAAAACTTCTGACTTGAGTGTGTTGATGCTGTTCAGCTGAAGGGATTGGTCTGGACTGTCAGAAGGCACAGGCAGCAGTTTCAGTTAGCATAGCTAATATAGCTACCCGCTGCTGCCTCAAGGACTTGTCTTCATTGCCAAAAAAGGTGTATTTTTACTGTGGGGTAATTAGCCTGATTTGACTATCCTAATTTAAAATCAAGCTCCTAATTTCTTTTCTTACAGGGAAGACATTGCTTCCCTATTAACTCAGAGTGTCCCTTTTTGCTGAGACTAAGGTAACTGAAGAGGAGTGACCTGTGCAATGAAAAGAGCCCACAATGTCCTAGGCATCAAATAGACTGCAAGCAAAGTCCTTCTTTGCACTGAGCCACGGTGGGGAGTAACTCCTTTTCTCACTTTTCAGTTGCCCAGCACAGAATGTATCAGCTTGCATCCTATCTATCAAACTAATGAGATTGTCTCCTTTTTAATTTACCACATCGCATCCAATAAATCAAAAAATGCTCTGGGCTGTTATCTGATTTGGAGGGGAATAATTGGTACTCACTCCAGCAGCAGGCCTGGTTTAATTAAAACATAGTGTATTTCCCAGTAAGGTAGTGACCAATTTTATTTTGAGAGCAAACTAACACAACTTTACAACAGAATGGAACAGATGAACTTTACTTTACCTTGAAGCTTTTGATACTTTTAAACTGAGTTCCCTTGCTAAATCACGGAGATTTGATTTCCCACACCCCCTTACCACTAAGCAGTTAGTGAATAACTTTACCCACTGTAGCTGTTGCCTTCCAAGCTAACTGCTGGCAAGTGCCATCTGTTTCCTAAGCCCTGGCATTAGGGTAACATAGAGCTTGCAGGCAGTCTCCCACAACTCGTGCTCATCACATTCACAAGCACTCACTTGCTGTAGAATGTTTTCTATGCCAGGTAGCAGCATCCTCTGGCTTGTGGGCCATGCTAGATTAAGGGTAGCAAAACAGTAGTACCTCCTCTGTGTGGCAAAAAAATACCTCTATGCTTTCCATCATCTGGGGTTTTGGGTTTGGTTTTGAATTTAGATTGAAAGAGTTTTTTAAAGAGTTTGGTCACTATGACTTTTATTAAGAAAAAATACACAAACTTCTTCCTACAAGCGCATGCAATATTTCTCACTGATGAGGAAAAATTACTGACTTTTTTTTTTTAATTCTTGAATTCTGATGAGCACAGAATAAATAAGGGTACAAATGTGAGACAGGCAAGAAATAGTTAGGAGTAAGTAGCCAGCAACTCCTGGGGGTACACTGGGCAAAGCAGTGGTACATTGACCACAGGAGGGAGCAAAGCTCTGGGGGAGATGCTGTGGGCAGACACCAAGGTGTGGGGTGCCTCCTGTTGAGGCCAAGTAGAGCTCTTCAAGAGCATTGCTGGGAGCCAAGAGTATTCCCAGGACTGAGGAGATGCTGAGAGCCACCATTCCATCTTGTACACCATGCCCATTAGCACCTCCAATTAATTTCATCTAATCACAGTCTCAGAGAGTATGTTCAAAAGAGGGTGGGAGCCAGAAGAGTTTTAACAAGAGAATCTTTTTGTTCCCAGCACTACCCAAGTGTCCCATATAAGACTGGATTAGTCAGTGGGTGCTACTTGCCACTTCCAAGATTTTTATTTCATGTCTGTCTCAGGTGTCTGATGACTGTAGGACTGAATTTACTCAAAAATTGGACTAGATTCAGAAACAGTGTCTCAATATTAACAGTGGCTCATATTAATGTTATGAAGTTAACTTTCTCAAGTAATTTCTATAGTTATTGTTGATTTGAAAGGATTGGTACAGAAAAGAATAGGGAAGTAAATTAAAATAGGAAATAGGAATAGCTCAGCTTCATTTTTTTTGGTGGTAGTGTTAGCAACTGAAAAGACAGTTCATCTCCTTTGTTCAGGTAAAATCTTAGCATGTGGAATTACAAGGTGCATGTGTGTTTCCCTCAGGATACAGAACCACAGAAGCTGTAGGTGAATAAACTGATGTGTCGAGCCAAGGTGCAAAGGTGATTTTTTTGTGCCTAGTACGCAAAAGTAATGAATGGGCTGTAGAGCCAAAAGGTGTGGCACTGGGGAGGCAGTACATTTGAATTTGAAGTGCTAAAACACCAGTAAATCAGGACAACAAAATATTCAAATCTTCTAAAAGTTAAAATAATCCCACCCTATAAACAAAAATATTGGCAGAAACATTTACCCCCTCCAATAACATTAAGTATGACTCATGGTTTTGTGAATTTTGATGTGTGGTGACACAGAAACTGTCCTCTCTATTACTGACAGATGGAAGGTTTATTGGTTTTAAAAACATGAAAACAGCTTGATCTCATGTACCTTGGTTTAAAAATAAAGCTCTTTTTATAGCATGTCTCAATTTCGACAACCACACTGTGCCGTAAATATTCACTTCCAAGTAAAAGCATATTTTAAAAGCCTAAACCAGACTCTTAGTTTAGGGGTAGCCTGATCCTCTGAGTTTGTGAAGTCTTCAGCAAGAGGAGTCACAGCTGAATATAATAGCTCCTTGTGCTTAACTCCAAAGTTTGTGGGTTCAGTTTTGAATTTAAAAAGGCATTTCCTGATTTGGTAACTTGCTTAAATTTAATTTCAAATGTGTGTAAATTCTTAAGTATATATATATATATTTTTTTTATGATGATAAGCATAGAATAAATCTGCAGGAGTGAAATGCAATTGAATATATCAGTAAAATAATTTCTTCTTAATGTTGCAGAGCACAGATAACTCAAATATATCTATAATTGCTCAGAACAAAAAGTGCTTTGACAATGATATTGTTTGCTCAAAGAATGTTTTCATCACTGTTGGAGACACTGAGATTTATTTTAGTGAACCTTCTGAGAAGCAGGTTAGTTATTTTCTTTCCTTTTTTGTTTGCCCTTTAAGATAAGCACTGCAAATTTACAGCTCTAAAGGAGCATGTTTTTGGAAAGCATCTCTCAGTCTAAGTTAATGTAGTACAAGTGTTTAGGCCTGGATAAAGCAGCAGGTCCCAGGACACACTTTTTTTTTCCCATTGTTTTTTTTCAAGTTCTATTTGTCATGCAAAGAAGATTGCCCAAAAGTCTCAAGGAGTTGAAACATACTGGGATTTATGAGTTTCTTTCCAGTTGGTTTAGAAAGAGAAACCAAAGTATGAAGCAAATTGAATGACTGAAAAGATAAAATATCAAAGTATTAAACAACAGTTCTACTAATATTATTGATTCAGCTATATGCTAAAATATTCTTCAATATATACTCTACTGTTATCTGGTCGCTTTACTTTAGTAGATCTTAATTAATATTCATTTGTGTCAGAAGACCCTAGGGGCACAAGAAAACAAATCTAACTATCAGCTCTGGAAGGCTGGATATTATACTGTGATACACTTTCCAGAACAGGACATTACAATTCTGTGGGATAAGAAGACAATGATGCATGTAAAAGTTGGACCTCGATGGAAGGTGAGCCAAAATATAAACCTGAGATTTTGTGTAGATTCTCTATATTCCTAATGTCATCTTTTATTGAATAACTGTGACAGTCTTTTCTTCAAGACTAGCTTTCCCAGTGATATAGCTTGTTCAGCTGCTAGTATTTCCCAGGTAAGAAGAGATGGAGAAAGCAACTTCTGAAGAGAAGGAGTGGTTTCTACAGCTACACTCACTCTGTTTGATTCACTGTAGCTTTGGAGATATGCAGTGATTCAGCTCTGACTCAAAGATAACTTTGGGTTCTGGAAGTGAGGGGTAGTTTTTGAGTTACCCAGTTTACTGCATGTTTTCATTGGCTAGAGCCAATGTAAAAAAAGCTTCTGTGGCCAGTGACATGGAGGATGGCAAGTTTGTAGCACAGATTGCATTAGACTGATGTTGGAACAGCAACCTGGGATGTAGTAGAGGCTTCTGAGATGAACAGATGGAGTCACATGTTGGCTTTAATCAAAAAAGAAAAAATACAGAAAAGATTTAGAAAAAACCTTACATTTAAACCTAATGGATATATCGTGACAGGATTCAGTCACGATGCGAGGAGGGATTCAAGGCTCCTTTTTTTCCCAGTTGCTTTTCTCTTTTCTATTGCTATATCATCTAACTTTGTGTCTCTGCAACTCAGTTATTGGGTGCAGGCAGAGTAACTCTATCAGTGCAATTCAGAATTACATTACTCTTTGTTTCAAACATGAACACGTGTATGAAGATGGAGCTTATTCAGCAAAAGAAAAAAAAGCATGCTGGGCTAGAATACAGTATCAGATTTTTTGAAGTGTAAGTCAAAGCTATAATGACCATCTAATGTGGTTTTAGAGTAAAATTATTATAGGCTTCTGTCCAAATAGCCATTAAATACTTAATTCACCAACAAGTTGATTTATTAGCCATCAATACACATAGAGAAAAAAAAAAAGGTCTTCAGTTTTTGAGTAAGCTAGCTGGGAGCTGAGTTCTACAGGTTGCATTTAGGAGCACAAATACTTCCAGTTCTTTCTGTTTCCAATGACTGTTTCTTCCAGAGGCTTCTCTTCAGTAAGATCTCTGCAGCAGACCTTAAGAAAAAAACTCATTAGTGTGATCCACAACACCCTAAAAGTCCAGCTCTACTTTTTATTGTTGTGCAGGAATGTCTATTTTCCTATATGTTTATATATGTATGTATGTATACATAGTTTTTCCATCAGCAGCATATGCCCAAGAAAAGAAAGTTGCAGCTGTCTCTTTTATAATTGCTATTACAAATGTTCTAGCTATTGTGAACTAAAATTAGAGACGGCAAGTTTTAATGACAACAACTAGTCAGGCTTCACAATCATGATGTAATTCACTTAAACTTTTGACTTTTGGACTGGAATCACTACTGAGCTTTCAGAAAAAAATATTACTAGATTCCAGTCTGTTTTCACAGGCAGGCAGTTAGGAGAAGTTCTGGAAAAAAGGAAGGAAAACACTGATTTCTGTTAAAAGGTATTTGCAATATGGAACTACAGGCATAGCAGAGTGTCAGATATTTTCAAAGGATAAGTCAGATTTACATTCACCCTTTTTATGTAAAAAATTATATATTCCATGTGTGTAATTTGTGCCAATTATTGACTGTAAGTTTATGAAAAAAATTCTTTTCTCTTTCAGGGAAAACTGGCAGGCTTGTGTGGAAATTTTGACAAATATACTTCAAATGATCTGACTACATCAAACAACATGGAGGTGAGAAATGCACAGGTGTTTGGAGACAGCTGGGTATTAGGACAGGTAAGTCCCATGTCCAACAAGAATATAGAGAAAAAAAAATCATTTTAATTTGTAAAAGAGCACATTATAAGCACATGATGTAAAGATATTTTCTAAAATTATGGTCATTGTATAAGAGGATATTTTAATTTTTGTGTATGTAGATATGAAATGTGTTAATAATATCGTATGTCATAGCAAACAGATGCAGAATTTAAATGATACTAAACAATCTCTTTAGGGAAGGATATGTTTTCCCCTGTGAAAGACAATTATAGCTGTCTGCATTTCAGTGTTCTACAAAGTGGGGTACACTGCTTCTGGTATTTTTGGTTCATCCCAATTTTAAAAACAATTGTAATTTCTCTGGGTTGGAAGGCATCAGGATACTGAAAGTAAACAGAATCTGAATGCTGGAAAAAAAGAGGCCTGGAAGAGTTTCTTTCTAAACACTGACAATAAAATGAAGATTTATTTTAGTGGCACTTTGTAAACAGAGTAAATTGACAAAGCAGAGGTGGTGAAAGGATGGGCAGAAAAGGCTCAGAACAGCAACAGGCACAACCCAGTATAGAAACTTGGTTTCTGAGGAGAAGGTAGGAGGATGCTGTAGAGAATGAATGGTAACACACATTTATGGTCCAACTCTGGTTTATAACACAGGAGAATAGGTATTTCATTAATTTGTGCTGAGAAGATGTAAAGCTTTATAGCCTTGTGGGCCTCCTGAAAAATCTTTATTTGTAACGCATTCCCTTTGTGTGACTGTCAGGACCAGTTTTTAATCTGTTCTCTCCTTGACACAACAGGAAATTGACCAAATATCTCTCACCTCATGGAAGAATGCTTTGGAATAAAGATTTTGAGGCTTCTCTGCCTCAATATCTCCCTTTGGATATATTTTATTCTACATTAAATGTTTAAATTTCATAAGCAAGCAAGGCAAATGTGTAGAGTTATACTGCTCATCTAGAAGGTCCTACATAAACAAATGTGTGAATATTTGATATTAAGTTCATGAATTTTGCTTTTTCAATGTATCAATTTAGCGGCTTCCTTAAAAAGGTGTATAGTGTTAGCATAGCATATTAACTTGTAGGATGTTAAGACTTGCACCTTACTTTTTGGTGGAGATACATATCTGTAAAATCTCATGTAATCTCCTGATCTCTAGGTCTGCCAGAGCGATCAGGATCTAAGTTCAGCTTTGGTCTTGCTGGTTGGCTGTGCTCACACGACTTGGCACTTCATCTGCCCCTGCAGTAGGCCTTCAGGATTTTTTCAAAAAGGACCTTTGGCCTATTGTAAAGATGTAACCTGGTCACCATTTCTGAAAAATCAATATACTTTAAAGGGATATTTGATAGCTGGAGGCCTAGAATCCAGCTCTGCTACTGGGAAATGTGCTTGTATTAGCACTGTGAAGCAGGAGATGCTTCCAGGGCTCCTCCTTCCTGGGAGTGGCAGCACATATCCTCACAGCAGTGTCTGAGCACCTGCACAGGAGGGCAGCATATGTGGGTGACTGCACTGCAGCTGAGGCTGCTGTGGGACACCCCAGTGATTCCTGTGCATTCATTGTCACACCCTCCTGGTGCATTACACCCACCTTGCCTGCTGCACCAACACAGCACGGTTTCAGATGAACTCATGTTCTCCAAGCTGAGTGTCCCTTTCCTATATTTTTTCTGTTCTTTTTTTTTTTTTTAAGAGATCCTAGAAGTGATGCAGTTGTATCTCACCCATTTTTTGAGTAATCATGATGCTCTTTGACACTATATTTTAATGAGTTGTTCCCTTCCTACCACTGCTTCTTTATTTGAACTTACAGAGCTAAAGCCATCTGTAGTATGACTCCATTTAAAGTCAGTGAAAACCACCCAGGATGGATTTGGACCACGTATTTGTTTGTGATGTTACAGTTGGTTGCTCTGGTAATGATTATAATGTGTCACAAAGAAAACATTTTGTCTTTATGCACTGAGCAGACAGCAGGAACATTTTAGTGCTTTAGAAAAAAACAAAAAGATTTTTTTTGGAGCAAATGTTTTCAATTATAAAAACAAATCAAGGAAAGAAGATGAAGAAGATAGAATTGAATTTTTTTATTTTCTGATTATGAAAGTATTGAATTAAATGCTACTATGATGTACCTGAGTCTGTGATAAACACAGCTACCTATAAAATATTTGTGGGTTTTGTGCTTGTTTTTAAGTGTAAGAGCCCAAATGAAACACTGAGACCATGTGAAGTACATCAGAGCAAGTTCCCTTATGCAAAAAAGGAATGCTCAATTTTATACAGTGATCTTTTTGCACCTTGTCGCAATGTGGTAAGTCTATTAAATATCCAAGATTGCTCTCATGAAAATAATAAAATTCCAGTAATGAATTTCTTCTTGCCAGTACCCTCAGTTTGAATGTGAGGATACAGAGTAAAGCCCTGCAAGTATCTCTGTGTGGGTGGGCTATATTTGTGCAGAGCTCCTTGTTCCTTTCAAGACTGGAATCTAAACATAAAAGTGGTAACAGAGTTGTGAGTTAGTCTACTGAATAATCAAGGTTCTAGCCTCTTTAGGTTGATTTGCACCTTTTATCTATAAAGGTAGCCAAGTTTTACAAATTGTAAATTTGTATAAATTGAGGGATTCTAAAGTAAGTATATGTGTCATGTACCTACAGCTTACTTCAAATGGTTTTATTTTGTTGTTTCCTGCTTTATATAGAAAGAAATATGAGAGAACAAAATTTCTGCTTTCGAGCTTTTTAATTGTTTGGCAGCTTATCATCTGGTTTTATCAAAACTCTGAGGTTTGGTATCCTTGTTTTCCCAATACCTGGCTAAGTACAAGTTAAAAGAGTTACAACAATGTCCTTCAGTTCAGTCTAGACAAGATGGGGACAACACTATTTTGTGTCGTAATCTTTTATTCCATCTTAATCCACCCATTATCAATGCAAGACATGCTTTATACATTTTTCCCTATTTCTAATTTTAGCCTCCCAATGGTATTTAGGTGCTTCTTTGCACCTGAACCATAGTGGTTAAGCAAGAACCACTATGACATTTCATCTCAGTCTTTAATTTCTTCATGACTATTAATACTAAGTGAGATCATTAGCTGTCTCAGCTGAACCTCCTGACTTTCAGGACTGAAGCTGAATATCAACATGGTTAGGAATTTGCCTGTGAAGGAGGTTGCAGTAGCTTAACCCAAGAGATTTATTAATGTTGACTTAAGTTACTATGTAAAGAATTTTTTGAGCATGTGCCTGAGAACATAGTGATGAGCGTATTTTCAAAGTGGCAAATAATAAATAAAAATGGAACTTTTGAGAGTCTTTAAGAAACTGTATTATTATAACAACTTAGAAAGTTCTTTTCTCTTGAACGTTCATTTTCTATATCTTATCCATGTTGTGATTAGAATTAGCAAATATTATGCCAGAAATTTAGCATAATTATGTAAAAAAAATCTATGCCAGGTGCAAAACATGTGATTTAATTAGTAGTCAAGTGCATCTATCTTGTATGGGAGAGTCTATAAAACAAACATCTTTCATGTGTTTTTAGAACCCATTAATCAGCATGTGAAAGTACAGCTCCTGCAAATGTAATGTAGAGTGACCTCCTATCAAGGGCATGTGCAACTGACTGCTGGGTGGGGAACAGGGTGCCAAGAAAAAAGCCCAAGCAGAGACTGACACTGGGGGCAGGAAAAGAACAGAAAACAAAGATGGGGGTTTCCAACGTGCTTGTTGTTGCTCCTGCTGTGTGGGTGGAAGATCCTGCAGTGCATGCAGGCAAGCTCCTGTCTGTGTGACAGGCGGCCTTACAGCTCAACTCAGGCTGCAACACCAGTTTGCAGGGAGACAAAATCTTGCATCTCTGCCTGGCAGCAACTGATGGATTGCAGTTGCCCAAATAAGCACTGAATTCAGCAGGGTCTGAGGAACCTGACCATGGAGAAAAAAGGGTCTTCCTCCTAATTCCTGAGACAGCAGGATCTTTGGCCCAAGGCTCCCAGTATGTCACAAGAGCAGGAAATTGCTGACCCACGGAGAAATGCTGTTCTGCAGGCATGAGAGACAGATTGAGATATTTGGAGCCAGTTTGCTGTTAGGTGATTTCTACAAAGCTACTACTGTCAACTTTGAATGGAGCTAGTTCTCATGTGTGTCCCCCACATCCCCAGTGGTATCCCTGTTTTCAAAACAAGAAAAAGAATGAAAGCACAATAACATCTCTCTGCCCTTGATCCAGTCCCTGCCAGCTTCTAGCTACTGCCAGCTGAGAAGCTGTCTTCATGTTAGATAAGTAGTGCTTTGTTACTGTGGTGGTATTTCTGTAATCTGACGTGTGCCATTTGAGTGCTTGACAGCTGAGCTAGACCAGACACTAAACTGAAGAAAAGCATTGCTTTAAACAGTCCATGTGTTGAGTAAGAACACTGTTTTGGAAATGTTGCTGAACATTACAAAAAAGATGATTTAAATTCAAGAAATAGTGTATCATGTAAAATCATGAAATATTGTGATAGGATTTTAGAGAACGTGGATTTCTGATCTAATGAAGTTTTGTGGGCAAATTATATTAAAATCTTGATAAGTGCAGAAATATTTTTTTTCTGCGCAATGTCACCAGTGGTCCCAAGCTGTCTTCCCCTGGGAAATCTCCCCTCTATAAATTATTACTTTAATAACTTGGTAATCAGAGTCACAACTCCGATCTTGTTGTTGTTCATGCAAAACTGACAGGATGGCTACAGATGGCAGTATTTGCCTTATAAAAGCAGAACTGCCAGCTTCAATAGTTCTTTAAAATTGATGAACAGCAAATGTGTGGACAAGCATGTTTGTTAGTAATCGCTGTTTCAATTTTTCTTTCGACCTTTAACTTAGGTATAAGCTGATCATTTGAAGTGTGCATTTTGTGTAGGAATATGCCCAAACTTTGGAAAATACCTTATTGTTGTGTTTAATGCTTTCAGTCAGTCCAGAAGTAAAACTCCTGCTGCAACTGGAATATGTACAGCTCATGCAATTAAGTCAGCTGTTTTTCTTTTTTCCCCTCCCAGATTGATGTGACTTCTTTTATCAAAAATTGTCACACAGACACATGCAACTGCAATCTTGGTGGGGACTGTGAGTGTCTGTGTACCAGTATTGCAGCTTATGCCCACAAGTGCTGCCAGCAAGGAGCAGCGATTCACTGGCGATCTCCTCTGCTCTGTGGTATGTACCTGGGCTGGCCATGCTCCAGAGCTCATCTCACAGGCATCCCTGACTTTTTCCTGCCAGTTATACAAATATGACAGAGTATGTGGATAATAAACATAGTTCACATCTCTCAAGCTGTCTCTGTGTTAGCTGTGTCATCCTTACACACCCAAATTCACTGTCTTGCTAAAAAGGGCTGGTTGTGCTTAGGATGTGTTAGTGCAGAGACTGTGGGAAAGGCTGGATGTCCATTTTCCTGTATAGGGCTCCAAAGAGACTCAGTCTGTTCTTTTCTTCAACAGCAAGAAGGGTTCTTAGCTGTAAAATAATTCCTGCTTCAGGTCTGATGTCACTGGACGAAAGTCTAAGAAAATAAAATCACTGACTGAAATTTCTTATGGGACATGAAACTTCCTCTCCTGAAAGTGAGCTTTACATTTTTGGGATGCAGAAATACATGGATTCTCTTGTTACTAACAATAATAATTGTAACAGTAATAATAATAACAATAACATGCTTGTTTTCTTTTTCTTTTAGCTTATGACTGTGAATATTACAACCAAGGTATATACTATTTGATATTCTTGTTTAAAAAACTCAATTAATTTATGGGCTTTTTCTTTGACTCGGTGTATGCAGTTTTAACATTACTTTTATTTTTAATGAGTGAAGGTTAGTGGCCCAGCTGTGTTGAATGATCCTAGCAATTCCTAATGCCTCCATTAATAAGTTCATAATGCTCATAATTGGGGGGGGGTGGATTGATCCATCATCCTACAACATGTGGTAGCAGTCAGGAAGAAGCTCTAGAAGGACATTTCCTTGTGTTTGTACTGTACATTTCAGAGCTGGGACCTACAATATTTGGACATTGATGGGCTATGGGATTTTGTGCACGTCTCACAATACTGTACTGTAAAAAGAATAGTGCCTTAGAATGAGAGTGGTATTCATGTCATAGAATTAATTCCTGTGTCATTCCCTCTAGTATTTGAATACTGTGCATATACTTTATAGGGAGCAATAGGTATTGAAAAGGGAAAGTTGACTAATTGCAATGAATGAATGAACCTGAATTTTAATGTGTCTTTTTGATGACTAGGATGACTTGCATCTCATAATGAGGATCATTATACAGATTATATTTTCCTCCTCCAGTCTGGCCTACTACAGTAGTAGCATGAACTTCTTGCTAGGTATAGCTGACTTCCCAATTACTTTTTAATAGGGAATTTTATCTTACTCAGAAAGGTTTGAGGACATGGCTTTAATGGCGAACATCATGGCAGTGGTCTTAAAGGTCATTTCTGGCCTTAATTATTCTATGACTCTATGAAAAAAGTAGAAAGGAGTACTGGTTTTGGCTAATTTTCTTCATATAGTTAACATGAAGTTAATAATATATTTTGTATTTGTGATGACAGTGGTGTTGTAGCTACTGCTTACATAGATTAAGGTTTTCCCTGTTCTCACCAGTAGGCAAGCTGGGGCTGCACAGGAGGTTAGAGGGGACAACTGACCCCAGCTGACAAGAGAGATGTTTCAGAACACATGATGTTGAGTTCAGCAATAGAAATTGGAGGGGAAGTTTTCTGGGACTGGCATTGCTTATGGTTCATCTATTTCAGCTGATGGTGAAGAATTTTGGCTTTTTCATCACTTTGCTTTGTATTCTTTGTTTTCTTTTTGCAATTGTTTTCTTTGGTTTCCTTTTCTTTTTCCTTGTTTCTCTGTAAATAAAACTCAAACCAAACCATGATTCAAATGTCTTTATCTTCACCCATTATTTTTTTTCAGTTCTTCCCCTCTGATTCTTTTGTGACGTGTGTGCTGCTTAGCTGCCTGTCAGGGTTAAAGTAAAGCACAGAGTTATGCATGTTTCCACTACCAAGTGGAACCAAGTGGAAAATTAAGACTTAAGTTTTGTATATTATGTGATGAAAATTTTTTTCCCGTAGGTCTTGGTGAAGGACCCTATATTTTGGCAAGTTTTGGAGTGAATGACACAATTATAGGGGCTAATGTATCCAGCAGAAGGATATTTCCCTTGCCTAGAACTGGAGCACATGGAAATATAATTTTCAGTTTCATGATAACTCCAGGTCTTTTCAAAGATAAAGATTTATGTAAGTGTTCTCAGCAGTTTTGCTAATGGTGAGATATATATGTCAAACTATATGAATGATTTTTGCTGCATCTTCTAAATATCCTAAAGTAGTCGAGATATTTTTAGTTTTTGGAATAAGTGGCCAATTTCAAAATGAAGGAGGGATTTAAATTATAATTTTTTTAATATTAGAAAACCTCACTTCCAGTTTTAAAGTTGAATTTTCAAAAATTATTTTAGAAGTATTGCAAAATACAAGTAAATAGAGTAACTTTGTGAAAAAATCCAGTTAGTTTGTATAACTGGAAACTGGTGAATTTTTCACAAGTGTATAGCAAATATCAACACTGAAGGTCAATGCAGGATATTTTTGTCTCCAGTAAAATTGGTTCTACCTTGTGTTTCCACCTTATTTGTTACTTTTCCTGACCTAGAAAATGTGCAACTCGGAATGATCGATCTATTTCTGCATTGTTAACAAGCAGCATCTCTGTGCAACATAGAAGGTAGTTTCTTAGGTGAACAGTTAGTCTTAAACTCTATGTTTTACTTATTAGAGACTTACCCAAATTATACAACAAAAATAAACCTGTTTAAATATTTTTACTTCTATATATATTTTTCTTTCTTCACATATGTGAAGATTGTGCCAATTAAATGAATAAAGATTTTGTCATTGCTTTCTCAAATAATTTAATGTGTTGAAAAAATCACAAACCCTCAAAAATCAACATAAAGGAGGGCTCTCTGCACAGAAAAATTTCAAACTAAGTTTACAAACATTTGAATGCTTATTCCGTGGGAAAATTAGGTTTTTAGATGTGATTTTGAAATGAAAAATACATAAAACAGAAGAATTAATTCATTCTTGTCAAATCCCTATGTAAAGTGCAAGTAAATAATTCATTATATCTGTGCAGTACGCAGATGACTTTCATATGGAAATGAGGGATGAGATAATATTCCTCTAGATTAAAGAACTTCAAGACTGTATGCAAGTTGAAAATCAAGTATGAAGTCAGTCTTCTTATAAAGCTTGAAATTTTCAGAGAATTTTTTCAGAGAAATTTTCAGAGAATTTTTTTGGTTTGTGGCATGGGTAGAGCAAATAGAGGTCAGGTCTCTTATTTGGCCATAGATTTTCTTACAGTATTTCTGGATATGACTGCATATAAAAAAAAGCCTGACCTTAATGTTCTTACAATGTGATATTATTTACTAATGAAATTTTGGTCCTGCTAAACTGTCAGACTTTTGTCCAAACTTGAGAAAAACTCCCAAGATATGCAAGTTCCACTCTGAGACTGCTTAGGAATCAGTTTTGAAGGTTAGTAGCAGTTGGCTGAATGCAATTTTGGTCTAACTGATAAGTTCCCTGGTGGTTCTGGATTATATGATCCTTTGGAGTCTCTTTTAGACCCTGCATTGTGTTTCTAACTCTCTTTTGTGCAACACAAAGCTGATTTTTTTTTTTTTTTTTGTGAAAAGACAGTTTTAAAAAGAAACCACTTAGCAGCCAATATATAGGATTTAATCTCAATTACAAGTTGTTTTCTGTGAAAATCTTACCATTTTTATTTTTTTTTTTTCTTCTGTGGAAGCTCTGTCTCTTGTTTCCCTTGAATCTGCTGAAAGACCAAACTACTTTCTGTATGTACATGACAATGAAACCATCGGGTTGGAGCAGTGGCAGGCAAATGCCTCCTTTCAGAGACGAGCCACCTTCTTCCACCACCAGGGTCTCTGGAGTCCAGGGCTCAGTGCCTTCGAGCTGCACAGTAAAAAAGGCTTTTTCATCATTCTCACCTCATCCAGTGTTAAAGTGGAAAAGTATGATGGTTCAGAAGAATTCAAACATTTCAGTAGCTTTAGTATTGAAGGTAAATTTTGCAAAATCTGCAGGGATAAACATTCTTTTTCTGCTTCCCTTCAGAGCATTTTCTTTCTTGTATTTCTATTTGTTACTATCAGCAAAAGTAACAAATATTTTATCCTATTTTTAATTTTTCTCTGTCTTCCATTCCATCTCAAAATACTATTATTTTCTAACTTCTGCAGATATGATCGTCACTTTATCGTTGAACTATGTTTTCATTGGCTTGCTCTCTCAAAATGAAAGTGGCATATCACAAAACAATGTATGTTAATATCTCATTAGTAATCTATAGATCTCTATTATTTTAAATGAATTCGGTAATTGTGTTGCATCTGCAACCAACAGTATTTTCAATATGTTTAACTGATCTTTTAGGTTTTGAAACAGAGTATATTGTAAAAATTAATAGCTGTTTTTATTGTCAAAACTTGAAATGTCTTTTGGCTTGAACAAATTTAGAATGCTCGAAATGAAACAAAATCTCACCTATTGGAAAGTTCCGAAAATTTTGTCTATTTGGTTTTCATTTATTTCATTTATCTGAAGATCCCAGTGTGTGTTATAGAAAAGGGTGTAATTTTAAATTGTTTATTGACTATTGAGTCACTAAAAAACACCTTTCTTTCCTTCTCAGAACTCAGTGCTTCTGTGCCTTACAGAAGGATGTGTGAATGGCGATATGAATCTTGTGCTAATCCTTGTTTTAAGACATGTAGTGATCCTGAAGGAACAGCATGTAAATTTCTTCCTCTGTAAGTAAAATTATTCTCATATTACTACTGTATTGTTTTTTGTAATAAGCATACCATATGCTTTCTGAAAATCACTGCTGCTGCAATATCCATCTAGTTTTACTATCCAGATTTCAATGTGATTCTTATGAGAAACTCTCACAAGTCATATGAAATCATTTGTACCAAGCCTCTCATTTCCCACAGTGTGTATTCCCATTTAGATGCACCTTCCAACACAAAAGAGGGTTTGTATTTAGCCCAGAGGATTAGCTTTTGGTAGTAGTCAAGTAGAAAGCTGTTAAATTAAATAAAGGCTATTTCCTTCTGTGGATTTATAGCTGCATCCTAAACCAGCACACCATGATGTTAAAATGACTAGATCTTTCTGGTGTTTATACGACGCAGATCAAAAATTGTAGGAATAGTAAGGGAGGAATACGCCCTCTCCTGTAGAAAGAGGGAACTTTTATTCGGGGAGCTGCCCACTGGCATGAAGGGAGGGATTTCAGAGGGGTGATGGTAGCTTGGGATTTAGTAAACAGATTTCCTGTCTCAGTGGTTCTCCCCTACCTCTATGAAACCACAGCAAACTAAAAGGAAAAATGCCTAAAAGCTCAAGGCACAATGTGGTGGAAAAGAATGGATATTTTAGATTCCAGACTCCCTAGGTATATGCAATTTATGATTAGTAATACTACTAACATGACTAATTTTCTCTGTTGGTATTCTTAGCTTTTTCCTTATGGGAACACTGGTTGTTAATGTCATGATTTTCTTATTGAAAAGTCCCCCAGAATGAAAAAGACATGGGAATATAGTGATTTGTCTGCATTCTCCTATGTTGAAAGGACACAGGAGAAAGACTTTATGGAGTCAATCTAAATATTTTAATATCTCAAATGAACATATTTCGATAAAACAAAAGTCTTGTAGACAAGTTCATAATTCTGTGAAAAACCTTTCTGTTTAAGGATCTAAAATTACACCTGGTTGGGGAAGAAAAATGGTCCAAAGTTATCATATTCATCAGCCTATGCAAATAATTATTAACAGTTTAGAAATAGAATTATGCTGCCAAATAACTTTGTGAACTTGAAATGCCTTAAAATTCTATGTTCATAATTTCATTGGAAAGTCCTCAGAACTCTGATAAGACATTCTAATGGTTTGTTTAGACAAAGTAAAATAATTTAAAATTTTATACTTCTACTGTGGCTCTAGAATTGACTATACAATATTTTGAAGGGTTGAAGGATGCATGCCATACTGTCCCAAAAACATGATCCTTGATGAGATCACGCTTAGATGTGTTTATCCAGAAGACTGTGAGTATACTTTATTATGTTGATCTACTGTTATAAATTATTCCAAGATCCTAGGAAAGGGTTAATCAAATGTAATTTTTTTAAAGTTAAATGCTTTCTCAGAACATATTTCTGTTGAAGATTGTTTCTCTTGGACATAGACTCCATTCCCAGTCATCCAAACTTGAGCTTCTACATTCAAAAAGATATATTTTACATTGAATTCTCATATTTCTCAAATAGTGGGTTATATATAACATTTTGTGATTATGTTATACTCAGAGCAACTATATTTGGCTATATAATGCTAGTATATTACACATGTATAAGGGAGAGATTGCAAATGAAAGACATATGGCTGTAGCAAAAGTTCAGTCTTTTCAGAGGGTGACACACCACTAACAAATTCAGCTCACCTATTTCATAATTTCTGGTGTGTAAAGATACCATATTATTTCCTTATTCCGTGGGATAAAGTATTATTTTAACATTAAAATTTAGTTTTAATACTGTATCTGATTGTACAAATTTTGAATTAAATATGTTATGCTTGATATTCGTTGGTACAAAGTTGTCTTGTATACCTTCTAAGGATGTAACGTATTTATTTCAAATATTTTACTATTTTGGATTTACTGATTTTCTCTGGGATTGCCTTGTTGCTTCAAAATTGCTCTGCAAAATAAAGATTTTCACCAATATAAAAAATTAACTACTTCATTTGCAGAGAAAATTAGAAAACATTTAGAAAACATCAGCTGAGTTCCTCAAAGTCATCAGATGACCTGGAACCATTGGCAAGATCTGATTTGCTAATATTTAAATGGGACTTGAGTAGAGATAGATTTGCTATTTTTTTTTACTAATAATCCATAAAGGACATTTAAACACACATTTTTCCTTTTAGGCATACCTATGTCACCTACAGAATCAGACATTGGACTGAAGCCTTCACTGATAATCTCTCACATGGGTTCTACCACAGAGAGATTTCCTCAGACACTCCCTGTATTTGTTACTTCAAGGAATAAATCAACTCTCATCGGTGTGACAGACAAAATAACCATAAATGCAAATACAGCTTCAAGGGGAATGAATATGTCGGCACAGTCCATTACAGACTTTTATTCATTGGAAGCTTCTAATGCAGCCACCTATTCAACATTTTCATTACCAAGTACAGTGGAGCCTTCTGATGTACTTCACAGCACAGCCAGCCCTACTGTCCTTTCCAAACCCATCCCTTCAACAGATTTTCCAATTCTTTTTCAAGCCTCAGCAGTCACATCATGTACTGCCTGCTCTAATGTATCTATAACTTTACCCATTACAATAACAACTCCAACAACCCTGCTCAGTGCAAGTCCTATTCCAGCACATTCTGCATTATTAACACCCACTTCCCTAGTGGTAGTTCCATTTTCACTCGAAACATCAACCACTCAGCTAGGAACAGTTCGACCTTCCTCAGCACTAACAACTCTAGCCTCCAAGATATCTTTGGTCACTTCTGAGCTGCCTGCAGGGATTGGGAAGAGTAGGAGTCCTTCAGTAAGTCATTCTAAGGGAGCAGAAACACACTCTGAAGTGTCTTTGTCTGCCTTGGGGGCTGACAGAGAAACTTTCACAAGACCTGTATTTCTTCTACATCCACGATTGACACTAAGAACATCTACTTCTCCTATAGCTACTTTGCCTGTTAGAACTAGGTCTGGCATTAGTCAAACTGCAGTGTACCCAACACCCAGTTCTGCACTGACTTCAGCTGCTCCTCAAATTCCTATGACTACTAGATTTTCTAGCTCTGAGACAAGTGTTCCTCAATTAATCACAGTTTCATATTTCAAAACAGCAAAACCTTTGTCTAAAACTTCTCTGATATCATTAAATGTTAGCTCTTCAACCAGTTTTCCTCCAAAGACACTTTCATCTTCAGTGCAAATTTCAACAACTGTTCCCGAGCAGACATCTCCATTAAAAAAGGGCAGTATTTCTGCTGCTCTGCCAATAATGACTGTATCTTCACCTCAAGTTGTTTCTCAAATCCCTAAAAACACTTCAAGTGCTGCAACATACACAGTATCTACACCAGTCCATTCTATGTATACCTCCCTGAAGCCCAAAGCTATGGCAGGGGCCACTGTTGCCTCCAAAAGTTTTTATACAGTACCTTCTAGTGCCTCCACTCCTCTAATCAATTCAACAATCTTTGATAGGTCTGCAGTAAGTAAAGCTTCAACAGAAAATAAGCAAATAATGCACACTGATTTCTTTTCATTATCATTCATTTCTAAAAAGCCAAAGAAATCTGTTACGTCTTCAGCCTTCCCTCTCAGGACATTGGTATTACCTCTAAATTCTACAGTCACTTCAGAACTTACAGAGTACCCAAAAAGTTCAGATACAGAATTGAAAATTGACCCTGTGGCTCAAAGTTCAGGTACTTCCATTTCTGGAAATCCTTCTTTTACAAGGTCATTATCTTTACTTACAACCTTGTTATCAACATCAGAACCATCTTATGTGACATCTCAGATTACAAGTTCTTCATTGATTCCCATAGTCAGTAGCACATCCCCACTAACAAAAAATATAAATGCTACCCAAGCATCAGTTTCATCTCTAGATACACAGGGAACGTCAAAAATTCCAAATATAGACGTTGCAACTTCTGTGGATTTTTCTAAATTCACTTTAAAAATAAGTCTCTCTAGCAACTTTTCAGTAGCACTAAAAACATCCATTGTAATGCCCTCTTTACTAACACCTAACACCTCTGAAATAAGTTTAGAAAGCCAGCCCTCTATGCCTTCGCCTCCTCCTAAGACCACTCATATGTCTAATGTTTCTCTAGGAAAACAGAGTTCTTCGGTAAGTTCTTCAGGAGAAGAAGGAACAATATCAGCCATACCAGCTGGAATCATCACTCAGTCCACTACGCCAATGATCAGGAACACAACAGCGAATGCTACATCCTCAAAATCACCTTATATTTATGCAAAAATGCTACCTAGTTCTTCAGCCAGTTTATTAGTTACTTCAGCCACCACCACCCTAGCCTCGAGGATTACTACAAAAACTGCTGATTCTTTTGTTGTCAATTTGGATTTTTATATGGCTTCAGCTTCAGTTCCTACCACCATAGAAACACACAAATCTTTATTTACAACTGCAGTAACTCAAGCTTCACAGAGCACTAGAGAAACTCCAAAGATTAATATAATGAAAACAACTGGTACTACAAATCCATTATCACAGATGAAGAGTACCTCATACATAGCATCAGAAATTAAATACACAACTTCATTTGAAAACACTGTGGGTATTTCAGAAGATGGTCAGACGTCACATGAGCAAAAAAATGCTACCAAGACAAAGACAACCACAACTGACAAATCTTCCCCACCTTATTTGCCAGTAACTGCACTCCAGAGTCTGCTTTTTTCAAGAAATACAACCTCAGTCAAAAATATCTCTATTTCTGGAGTCCTGGATGTAATGACATCAGATAGGTCCAAAATCCCAACGCAGAAGCCCATTACGCCTTATTTTAGTGTAACAGAGGCCACAGAGCTGCAAACCAGAGCTATACTAGATTTGTCTCTTTCTAGTGGTGGAATGGCTCTGCCTTCCTCATCAGAAACGATGGCTGTAGATGACAAGGCTTACTTTGGCACGATGATGCACACACTGATATCTACATCTTCTGAGTGTGTGGTATGATCACTCTTACTTTGTCCTGTATGTTAACATATATATATCTTTTCAGTTCATTCTGTTATTCTACATATGTAATACCCAAGATTTAAATCAGTTCATATTTTCTATTTAATTTACTTGTTTTAAAATTCTCAGTTATTCTTAGAGCATAGTTTTGTTGCTGCTCTTACACTGCCTTGGTACATTCTGTATGTTGGATATATTGCTCTGAAAAAAATTCTTTGAAGATATATGAGTTTTCTAGATAGCTAAATATATTTCTGAGGTGCTGAAAAAGCCACAATCCTTGGAATTTGGATGTTTCTGAGTAAGCTTACCCTGTTTTTCCTTCTTCCACTCGTTTCTTTGTCATAGGGTTTAAAATGATGGGAATGCATGATTTTATGTTTCTTAAAATACTTCAGATTATAACTGATTATAACATGTACCCTCAATGCATAATGCTTTACATAGGGTATTCCACCAAAGCGGAATGGAACAGTGTGGGTGTGGGTGAATGGACATGCACCATTGTCACTGGTTACAACCACACAAATGCAAGTCATTCCAAAATAACTCATGAGCAGGTGGATGTGCTGATTGTCTCTCAGAGCTGGGGGGTGGACAAGTCATGGCTTGGACTTCATAAGGCCAATGAAGTTAAAGTTGACTCTGGTTGTTTTTTCCTTATATGACAGCCAAGATACCTTGAACCTGTTGACAAATGTAGCCAGTATGTATGTGTGAATACGGCTTGGATGTTATACAATCTTTCAAGGAACTGCCCTAAGGATGTGCAGAAGCCAGATTGTGGTTTTCGAGGAATGCCTGTTCAAGTTAACACTGACAGCTGTTGTCCAGAATGGCAATGTCCCTGTAAGTCTCTCTTTTACGTTTAAATAAAATATGGAGCCTTGATCTGTAAATGTCAAGTAATAAGTTAAAGGGTTATTACAATGGGAATATGAGGTTAAATATTGGAATTAATTAAAAAGAGCTATTCATCAGCAAGGCAGAATGAAATACGCTGAACATTTTGGTACCTTTGAATTGGTGTCCTGGAGAATGAAAATATTTTTCTTTTTTAATGAAAACAGTGAAATGACATCTCCAGCATGAACACTAGTATTTTTCAGCTGAGACTTTTCAGAATTTTTATCAGTAGAAATATTAAGATTTCAACATTTTATGAAGAAAAATAAATTAAATACAAGCTTTTCTGAAAGACAGAACCCCATATTTCATTTAATTCTAATTGCAGTTTTTATTCATGCTTAGACACTGCAGAAACTGGGGATGAGTCTGCCAAGGGAACAAAAAGGCTGAAGAGAAGTCATATTTAAAACCTTGCAGCATCAATGAAACCAATATTGCACTTTATAATTTTTTCAAGATAAGATAGATAAGTTCCTTGTCAGTATCTCAAAAATATATATATTTTTATGCATACATTTTATCTCACATTGTGCAGATTCATTAACCTTGCCTGTAAAACATTGATTTAAGTAAAAATTGTCACCAATTTAAAAAATTTTCCCTACCCTGGGCACACAGAAGCAGGTTAAGGTATTTCCACTGAGTAACCTAAACACTTAATTAGGCTTATGGCTCAGTGTGTTGTCTGCAGAACAAGGTCATCTATCTATCTATCTATCTATGAATGTATGTACAAAAGCAAATAATGCTAGAACTGAAAGTTTTTAGAAATACTCTTTATTCAGTTTTGTTGTAACCTCATTAAATGACAGTTCTTTTTCAGGTCAGTGTTCTGTACTGTCTGAACTGAGTGTTATTACATTTGATGGAAACAACATAGCCCTCTGTAATATGGCTTCCTATGTTTTAGTCAAGTTACCAGGAGAAATTATTGTTGCTCATATTGAAAAATGTCCTGCTAATCAGGTAAGGATCTTGCATTCATGCAATAATTATAATTGTTCCTTGAATTTTTTTGTGTTAGAGGTTTGAAATTATGCAAAAATACGTCAATTAAAACTTATAAATAAAAGCCACGCTCAGTTAAATACCAGGTTATTTAATTTTTGAGAAGCATGCTTAATAATTCTGTCTAGATAAAAGAATTTTATCTTGAGTTAAATAGTAATTTTTGTGTAAGGAAATTTAAATGTAGATTTCTTTTAAATTATCAGAGGTGACATAACTTCTCAATGCATGTCTCCTTTCAGGAGGAAACTGTTAAAAGCAACAGTCTTTGATTGTTTTAGATGTTTTCTATTAAATTCCTCTCATTTCCTGGTTGCAGTCTAGAGGTGGGAATGCAGAACACATATGCAGATGAGCTTTAGAAGTCTGCAGTTTTAGTTCTAACTTTAGTTTTATAAGAAATGTAATTTGAAAGGACTTTTCAGCATATGCACTAAATTAGCTGAAAAGTGTGTATTTTTTCTTATTTATAATAAAATATATTAGTTTAATTATTATCTGATTTAGAAGAACACTGAAGACAAAGAAAAAAGTAATTTATTTTTGCTAAATAAAAATGCTGCTGATTATTATTGAACTTCTAATTTATTTTTAATGTTTTCCAGAGTGCAAATTCAATAAGAAAACTAGTAAGTACTTGCTTATTTAGCTGATTTTAAAATGCATTAATATAAAAATATATTTAATTAATATAGAAAATTCCAATAGCACTGGTACAGAATTCGAAAAATAATAGTAACTAAATTTCCTTGTCACTTTTCTTTCAAGGTGCCACCTGCAAACACTTCAGGGCTCTGTTTTAAGAAATTAAATGTCACAACACACACTTGTCAAATACTTATCAATCGTTTAGCAAGAAAAGTAAGTATCTATCAACAGCGTGTGTACACTTAAAAAATAGCTGGAAAACTGTTCTTTTGTAGAATGTGATAAATCAGATTGAAAATAAAACACTACAGGATTAGGATTACTTTTGTAGATGAGGTTCCCGATAATTCATGGTGTACTAGAGGCAAAACAAACAATTTACATTTCTGGTACTACGCTTCACTTAAATGTCATTTTTCCATGTCACTTTAAAGTTCTTTTGAGATTTTAATGAAGCTACAAAAGCGGTTATGCCTGAGACTATATTTCCAGAAACCCTAGAACTCTAGAAGTGATAAAGACTTAAGCTACTTTCCTTGCTAGTCAGTAACAAGTCACAACAGATGACTTTCAATAATTGGAATGAGGTTTTCTTTCATCATATGATTGTGATAAATAAGCTTTATTCTTTCCCTAATTACAAAGGATTTTTTTTCCTCATGCCTACTTCATTTGCAGTTTTTGGAAGTGGCACGAGTGGTAAGCTCTCTAAGCACTGTGACTGTTATATGTGGCAGAGGCTTTGAAAATAGTATTTTATTATAAAATGGAAATACATATAAAATGCATCATTGCAGTCTGGCTTTATCTCTAAAATGTGTTTGGTTTCTTTAAGGTAGTTGTAGATTCTGAAATTCAACCATTACCATTTTCAAGAGAAGGACTGAGTGTTCAGGATACTGGTGCAATGTATGTGGTCAATACCCCAGGTGGGATTAGCATCAAGTGGGCTCACGTTACCGGCATCATGGATATACAGTATGGATTACACTCTAACACAACGAGGAAGACAGAAGGACTTTGTGGTGAGGCCATGGTGGCAATTTTTTCTTATTCAATAACTTCCCAATTGAAATTTGCAACTCCCTTTTGTGTCTGTGACCGGGTGTCCCTCTAGCTCTCGTTGTGACCCTCATTAACTCTCCTGACATTCCTATGTGAGAGCCTGTGAAATACTATTAATTAATTAATAATAAATTAATCTTCTGTTTGAAAGAACTGTGTGCCAATAAAGTACTTTCCAGAAAAAAGTGATCAGCACATTGTATCCAAATAACTTAAAAAAATTACTGGTTTCTTTTACTTATTTTTGCCTGTTTCAAGAGTTTTGCTGAAGCTGAATAAATAAAAAGACAACTTTAGTGAAGAAGTGGATGCTAAAGAAATTCAGGTAGTGATAGTATATTTCAGTGAATATGGAGACAAGTCTGATGTTAGCAGTGGCAGCTTATTGCTATAAAAATACTGACAAAAGTTGTATCTTGGGAAGGGTCCAAGTCTTGTGAGGACAGTAAATTAAGAATCTTATTTTGGACCTCTTGAGGCTGAGTCTAAGGTCCAAAACTGTGCTGGGGTGTCTCAGTCTTGAATTACAATCATAGCAAATGTAGCATGTTTCAAGCTTCCCTGAAGCCTTTTTTATAACTTTGCCAGAAGGAATAATATGGAAAAGTATAAGCAGGTGATTAAAAATTAATTTTACAATAAATTTTCATTTTCTAGTGGTTTGTAATTTTACATAATATACTTCATATTGTAAAGGAAAATCAACTTCTTATAATCTTTTAAACTGTTTTTAGTTTTAAAAGCAAGCAAAGCAATTCAGATATGCTTTAAGTGTAAGCATAAACAAATCAAGACCTTGAAATCAATTGCTGTCTTCTGCTTGAACAAAAGGAAACTTCTCCTAAATCTACTGAGAGAAGGTGAAGGCTGGCCCTGCATCTTTTTCCAGTATCATGCCATCTTCTCTACGCATGCTGAACGAATGGGACAAGATGAGGGCAAACGTAGAAAGAATTATAGAATAGTTCCTCTTTGTGTCATGAGAAGACAAAAGAGGAAGGTTATGCAGACAAATCCAAACTTAGCTTAAAATGTTGTACTACCTGATATTTTGCAGTAAAGTCGGAAGTTTTCTTTAGTGTTTCTTTCCTGTCCTCTACTGTTTGTTCCTGTCTGGGATTCTGCAATCCTCTTCCTCTCATACCAGAAAAAGTTGTGGGACTGTGTGGTAAATTGGCTTTATTTTTAAAGCTATATTGATTCTGCAGTTCTGCAGCATGGCCTTACAAATTCTACTGCCAGCAGTTTATGATTTGCAGCAAGAAGCAGAAGAGCTAAGAATACAGGAAGGTGGTACTACTGTAAAACACTTGTTATTTAAATGCCATCTTCTGTATTTCTCCATGCTGTCTGAAAGAATAAGAGCCTGCCACACCAAGCTAGTCCAGTTCTAACAGAGAACCCTGGAGAGCATCAGACTGCAGGGCTGAAAACAGGAGGGCAAGGTCTTAGGGTATGTTTAACAGTGCAGAAGGAAAGTGGAAACAAGACAGGAACTTTGCCTGATCAGTTCCTGAGATGTAAAACTAGTATGAAGATTAAAGTTTTGACATTACTCACTTGTAATATGCTTAAAGAGATCATGTATTTTATTTTATGTATCAATAGAATAATGAATTCAGGTAGACAATGAATGCCAGGGGTCTGGGAAGGTGGTTTTTTACAGTGGCTTTGTATTAATAACTTCAGTAAGAACAATATTTTCTCTAGATAAAGCAAATTGTTCATCAAAATATTCTTTTAATAACTTCTTGCACTTAGAATGTTCAATTAAATCTCAATACAGTGTGAAATCATTGGTGATGAGCAATTAATCTCAAAACCATCTACTATTAGTCCCAAGGAGCTGACTGCCATTCAGTAGAATGAGATCAGAATCTAGCACCATGTCAGTGAATTTGATACACTCAACAGCACATTTTGGTAGCAGTTTTTCTCAAAAGTTCATTGTTGTGAAAGGTAAAATGAGTTCTACTTGTTTTAGCAAGACATTGAGCTGAGAACTAAAATCACAAGCAGGAGGTTGGAATTACAGTGGATGTACAAATGCTTTAATTTATTTACTCAGGTGAGTTTCACAGGTCACCTGATGCAGTGTTGATCATAATTGATCAGGTAGTTTTTCTTTCCTAAATGAAGGAATGTTTGTGTGTTTTTGAATACAATGCTCTGTCCCAGGGGTGTGCAATGGAGATCCTAGCGATGACCTGAAAATGCAAAACATGACCATAATTACAAATATGGAGGAAATTGAAATGTTCATTAAGAGCTGGGAAATTGAGAAATCACTTGATGTAACAACCAGGAGGCCAGTAAGAAACTGTACTGAAGATAACTGCACATACTGTATGGAACTGTTAAACAGAAGTATTTTCATCCCTTGTCATAAGAAAGTGAGTATGAGGATCAGAAAAATTGCAGGACCAACTCATGTAATAGCTGTATAATTAAGAAAAGAGTGACTGATACATGCACATTTTTTAATGTTTTGCTTATTTTTATGATTTGACAGTGGAATGGGTGTCTTTAACACACCTGCCATGTTGTCCATTGAAAACATACATCTATGTTGATCCCTGTGCTATTATGCTGTTTTTTGAAATAATTTAATTTGGGCATTTCTCAAAGGGAACACACTGGATTATCATGTCAAGATAAACATGTTCCAGAGATGTTATTTTTATTAAATGCTTGATGAGGATCACTAAAACAGAAAGCCTCATGCTTCTGCTCTGCACAACAGCGATTCATGCAGTTGCAGACTTATTGGACTAAAGAAATTTCCAGTTAAAATATTTGACATAGCCAATATTATGTTGAAAATTTTGTAGAATTTCTTACAAAAATCATTGTAATTTGCTTCTACAAATTGTACTTTCTAATGGGGATCTAGCTGTAACATGCAGCTCTAGAGGTGGGTAGACCTCTATAGGTCACTAGAGGTGAGTAGTGCAGCACGGCTGCTTTCCAGAACAGCAAATGAGGAAGCCCCAAATCTCTGAGGTATAACTGAATTTTCCAAATTAATTAAAAGTAAAAATGATTAATTTCTCAAGGGGTCCTTTCTTTCTGAGAGATAGATGTGTAAAATAGGTTATCAGGTCCTACAGGCATGGAAACAGAGTAAGAGGTAATTCATTCACAGCTGGATTGTATTGAAGGTATAGCAGCAATGTTTAGCTGAGATAGTTCAATTTTAGTTGACAGGCTATGCTGAAAAGTTCTTCAAAGTACTGATCAGTACTTTTTTATGCTGATCAGTAGACAGAGAATGCAGTCCTAATGAGATTGTCACATGAAAATCTCACTACATTTGACAGTTTAAGTTTTGCAGAATGAGTATTCTGACAAAAAAGATATTTTTAAATTTAGACACTGTTAGTGATTTTTTTCCCCTTGGGGCTGTATTACTTATTTTAATTGCTGATTTATTTTAGTTACAGGAAGTCCCTATACTTGTTAATTCCCAATTTCAATATGTTCCTAGGTGTCACCACAGGAATTTTGTGAGAAGATGTGGATCAACAGTACTAATTTTTTGAACTATGAGTGTGATGCACTTTCTGCATATGTGGCTTTATGCAACAAGCACAACATCTGCATTAAATGGAGGACACCTAATTACTGTTGTAAGCAGATAGCAATGTTCTGTACCCTTATGTGGCTTTAGGGATGACGTCTTCTAGTGATAAGTTAAAATTATATTTCTTTCTATTATTCTTGTAAGTAACATCTCATTTTATCACACTGCTGGTAAATCAGGGTACAAGTTCTTAAGATGAGAATACATCATTTAGTCATGAATGAATTTTAATCTCTATTGAATTCATTGCTTACCTAAAGTACTGTTTAAAGTACAAATGTGTGCTTTCTGTGCTCACTTGTTATTACTACCTGTTTAACCAATGAAATGCTGAAAGGATACAGAAACACTCAATATCCTTTTTTAATTCCTTGCAGCACTGAGCTGCCCTGAGGGCAAGGAATACCAGCCTTGTGTGCAACCCTGTGAAGCCAAGACATGCTTGAATAAATGGTTCTATGAAGATTCCCCCTGTTCCTATTTAAGGGAAGACTGTGTGTGTAAAAACGGCACCATTCTGCATAGAACAGACTCAGACCTCTGTATACCAGAAGAAAAATGTAGTAAGTACAGTAGGACAGAGTAGTTTTGCACTTATGATCATATTAACCATAGTTATATTAACAGTTCATGGTAAGAGAGAAGCTTAAGTTCTGTGTCAATCCTCAGTAAATGTGAATCTGGTAAAGAACTCTTCAACAGAGCCTAACATTTCTCAAGCTAGAGCAGTTTGTGCTTTCAGTTAACTTGGCTTTAAGGGCCAGTGCTGATGTACCTCTGCTGGGGGAAAAGTGATGGCCATTCTTCTATAGCTCCCAGGCTTTCCTCCCTTGGGAACTTAGGAAGGAATAACATGGGCAGGTTCTGTCCCTTGCCCTCACCCATTTTCACCCATAGAAAAGCATTTGTTCCTTTGGGGCTTTTAAGGTCATCATCCTTTCTTGGATTCTTTTATCATAATGCTCCACAGCCATAGTTTTTTATGCAATAATTTTATGCAAGTCACAGCTGCTTGCAGGAAATGGGAGCTGTCTGCTTGTTGAAGGGAAAGAAAGGGTTCTTTTTCTCTTCCAGCGTGTACAGATAATAAAGGACAACCCCGCTCTGCTGGGGAGATCTGGAATGGGTCCATGAGAGGGTGCTGCATGTACAGCTGTTTAGAAAATGGAAGCATTATTGCTGTAGAACCTGAGTGCAGTGAGGATCCACCACCAGTCTGTGAAAGAGAAGGGGAAGTTCTACTCCATGTCATTGAAGAGAGAGCTTGCTGTCCCAAGAAAGTTTGTGGTATGTACAAAACTTGTTTTCTGTAACAGAAGTATAAAATAACTGCTTCACATACACAGGCAGATGACAAACTTTAGATTCAAGGTAACATTTTTTAGAATTAATTTTCAAGTACTTATGGCTGGTTGGGCCAGAAATTGAGGCTTCTATTCATTATAAGAATTATTCACTGAAATAATTTTTTTCTTAGAAGTCCACCAGTTCAACAAAACTTCTGTTAAAAATATTTTTAAAGCTCTTGCATAGAATTTAATAATAAATTGATTTATATTCAGTGATAGAAGTATCTTGGTATTTGGGGACGTGGTCAGAGATTGCTTGCTTTTCTTTCTAGTACTTTGGTGTGATGAGCAGTGTCCTCTGATCTATTGCTGTTTCCCAGAAGCTTTTTTCTGGGCGCTGATGACTGAATACTAATATTCTGCCTAGCCATGTTTGTTTAGAAAAAGAATAAGCTTATTGCTCCTAAAACACTAAGCAAAATATACTAATTTCTCCATAACATATTCAAGGAAAATGAGAACATATGGTCCATCTGATGTGGTGCTTTTGCTTATTAGATACCTGTAACCAATGCTGTATTGTCAATTTGCTCAAGGAATATCAGTGGGACATTATAGCTGGCTTCATGCACAGGGAGCAGAGCAAGTAAATACCAGTTTGAGGAAGGATATTACTGCTTGCTTGGGTTGAGCACAAAAGTCTACATGATGGTATGGAGTGAACTTTAAGCTGACTTGGGCTGCTCTTGTTTTGTGGATCTCTGTATTAGATGGTATAAATAGCATGAACTATAGGACTTGCACTAGTATTTCTTTAAAGACATCAAAATTGTTTTTTATCCCACAGAATGTAACATGTCATTGTGTGATGCCATAATTCCAACATGCAAACCCAATGAAAAATTAGTGGTAGGCTACCACCCCCTGTCCTGCTGCCCACAGTACCGATGTGGTAAGGGAAATACAAAACCACAGTTAGTGGAAAGTTTTCCATACTTGTATTATATGTTGGAAGAAAATTTGCATTACAAGTTGTCTTGATTGTTAACAGAATGGGATACTGTAAATAGCACCGGGCAATGATGTATGTTTTTTTAAACATTCTCTAGTATTTTTTTGTCTTTGTGTTTTGTGTTACTTCTGATTTACAGTAAATTTGGGGTATTTTATTTTACTTAGCATATGAAGAATATTTTTTTAAATCTTTTTCATATTGTTTCAGTGACTCCCTTTAAAACAATGTTTGTTTCATGTCCTACAGAATGTGATCCTTCAGTTTGTTTCAATGCCTCCCAGCCTGACTGCAGAGAAGATCAGTTTATTGTTGAGGCAAAACAGGAAGATCCCTGTTGTTTCTCTCACCTCTGTGGTAAGATGCCTCTAATATTTTTATGGAGAGCTAAGGAATAGTCAAATATTTACAAAACCAGACTATAATTCTAAAATAACCCAAGGCAGGAATCCTTGGAGTGAGACTTCACACAGATCTGGTGGACGGGAGGATTATTATTCTTGGGTTTGGGGATCTTTTTTTTCCAACACAATTTTGAACATCATATTTGAACTTTGTTTAGCTTTAATATCCATAAAATCCTTAAAATTTCTATTATCAGAGTAACAAATGCAGTATTACTTTTTATATAGTCAATTAGATGGAATTCACATGTGCTAACTTCTTACGTTTTTAAACTTTGTTCATGTCTGTTTTTTGTTTCTTTTATTTAGTTTGTGAATCCTGTATTGAACCTGTTCCCTTGTGTAGTGAAGGGGAAATTCTCACTGTAGACCTTAATACCATACACTACTGCTGTCCTCATTACTACTGCGGTGAGTGTAACTGCTGAGAGTTTGATACGTCACCAAATTCAGTAAAAATGACAGTGCCTGGCTGTGCAGGAACTTGTTTAGGTTTGGCAATTAAAGTGGGCTTCAGGTATAGACTGAGAGGTCGAAATGAGAGTGTAGAGGTACCAAATTTCACACAGATTCAAAGTTCTTGGTATGCCCAGTGGTGGTCTAACAAACCTCATCAGTGGAGTCTGGAGAGGTTATTCAGTTCACTGGACAGAAATATGGTTATCTTCACAGTGATTTAAATACCTATATATTAATGTGGCCCTGAATCCCGTCCTTGGAGTACAAATATACAATTTTTCATATATTATAACACATTTAATAAAACGGCTTCCATGCTGGTTTTCCTCTGTTGTACAAGTCACTGATGTTTAGGCAGTTTCTTTGCACTTTTAGCTCCTAGGGGAAGGAGTAGACCAAGGATTTCAAATAATGCTGGGTTGACTACTCTTCAAACAATGAGCAGGCACAAGAAAAATATTTGCAGTGTAACTTAGTCCTTTTCCTAGTCTCATAAAACACATAAATTGTGCTATACATTTTTACATAACATCTAAAAGTACAACTGCTTAATTTAGATTAACTTTCATCCTATTGCAGTTTTCAGGCTAATTTCACATAATAAAATTGACTTCCACTAAGTTTGGAGTTTAGCAATTTTTACTTTGGTTGTTTCTGTATTTTGGTCCTTTCCTTTTCCTAGCAGTTTTACCCAGGTGAAATTTTCTGCAAAGACCTTTTGGCATTTTTTTCCTACTTCTGGCAGGGAGAAAGTTAGATCTTAGTGCTTGATCTTCTTTCATAGCCCTAGTAAGCTGCTTCTGATAAGGGAGGCAATATTTTCTTAATAGCTTCATACCTGGAGGGCAGTTGCTCCCTGTTATCTTACAGAAGTGCACTTTACAGTACATATCAAGTTTATGTTTCCCAAAGATTATGGTTTTAGATGTCTTTGGTAGTGGTTATTTTCTTGAGTAAGTCTGAAGTAGGAAGAATATTAAATGATTCCTGTTTGATGTTCTCTGAAAATTTAAACATGTTCTAAGACAACTAAAATAATTTTTGAAAATTTTTGTTTTGTTTTTCATTCCAAGTATAGTTCAGATAGTTAAGAAACACAATAACATTAATATAAAATAAAATTATTTAAAAAATAGTTTATCAAAAGTAATGTAAGCTGGAAAATATGAAGGAAAATTGAATAAGTTCTTATATGTCTTTCCCCTTCATTTAGTTTGTGATGAAAATCTTTGTTCTGAGCCTCCTATGATTTGCACAGATGACATGACACCTGTGAAGGAAAAAATACTTGGGCAATGTTGTCCGGAATGGCACTGTGGTAATTATTGCTTTATTCTTTAGTCACAACTCTTAACCAAAACTAACAGTTAGCTAATTGATTAACACAGATATCTTTATCTCCTTAGAATGTAGTTGTGAAAATGCTACCATGCTGAGTTGTAAATTGGTAAGTGATGTCTTGTAAATACTGTTAGTAATGGTGTTGAGCTGTCTTACTCCTCTCTTTTACACTCCTTGTTTCAGTTGTAAAGAGTAACAGGGACAGGGTGGGATTGCCCTGCAGTCCCAGCTCAAGCATGTAATTCCAAGTGTCTGCACAGTGTTGTCAACCAATTACTTGGAGGAATTTCACTTTGTGTGTTGTAAGGTGGAAAAAGAAAAAAAACAACTGTAATTTTATCCTGTTCAGTGTCGACATGAAACAATATGCTAGTAAGGCTTTTTACATAAATAATTCACATTTAAAAATAATTAATGAGGTATGAGCTATATGATTATATGTATCATCTGAAGAAATGTGTCATTTTGTTAATAATATATGCTTTTGATTAAAATGATTTAACATTGTTGAATTTTGCTGATATGAGCAGTCATGAATATTTTGCTCCTCATGTAGTTTTTCATAATAGGGATGTGATCTGGAAAAAAAAAATATGACTGTATGTTCAAACTCCCATTAATGCTATAGTGACCATATTTGCCTTATCCAATGCCTGAAATTTTTTTCCTTACGTGAAGACAGCCTAATGTAAAGTCTATTAAGGAATTTTAGATTTAAATAGCTTTCACCTATCTTTTGAAAGAAAATCCTTAGGAGTCAATCTTTTGCTAATATATTTATTATAGAAATAACTTTGTGTCTCAGGAAAAAAATGCTGTTTATTCACTCTGCTATTCTATGCACTCCTACAGAAAATGAAGTGTTGTTTTCTGCTTTAAGAGATAAATACACTGAATAACTCTGAATATGCTACTCTTTCTTGAATACATGGCAATTTTTCTCTTTTATGAAACCAGGGGTGGAAGTGATGAAAGTAATATTTTACATTTTTAGAGAAAAATTGTCTGTGTAGCACTACATTTAATTGTGCATGACTTTGCAAACTTTTATCTTTCTGTACTCAGGGAGAAGTTAAAAAAATAGATAGCAGTATTTCCAGTGCTTGTGGATGCACTCACTACATTTGTGGTAACTTTTTATATTCCTCGTTGTTGTGCTTTATTTTTTAGTTAAAAGGGTGTGCAAAGAAAGCAGAACTAAGGTCATTGTCACCATTTCAAATGTAAAAGCTCTTTTATCTTAATTTGATGTGTGTCTATGTAGCTATGCAATGATACTTTATTTTCTGAATATGTTGCTTTGCCTGCTGTGCCATCCATTTTGTGTCTGCTCTGGCAGAGTGTGGGAGTGTTGTAGAACTGCCCATGCTTTCAGAGTCAGGTACAGCCTCTCTGGTGAGAGACAAGTAGGAAACAGGCTGTGAACAGTAACTGAGTGTTAGCAGGGCAGCTGCTCCTAGTCTTTCAACACAAATGAGACAAAATCTTGCCCAGAGCAACAGACTTGCTCAGCCAGCACAAGAGGAGGTGGCCAGATCAAGATCAGAGATCTGCTCCCTTCCCTCACTGAGCTACCCATGTAGATTTCAGCTGCACTGTGCATGGGGGTGCAGGGGCAAGCTGCAGTCCTGGCAGCAGCCTAGGCTGAACAGCCTCCAAGCACATATTTACAGTACAGCTTGAACAGATTACTGGACCACAGGTATTTGCAGAGTAGTTTAATTGGCAGAAAGGCCACATTTTGTGATGTGCAGAATAGATGAATGTTAAATATTAGAATACTTTTAAAATAAGAACAACAGACTTTTTTTACTTCCGTAGTAGGAACACTATCAGTTTTAGGCAGTTTTGCATTTTGCAGCATTTTCTAAAACTGAGTTATCATTCCTCCCCATCTTGTTTGGTAACTAAAACCACAAACCAATCAAGTCTAAAAGATAGAATACTTTTGCAGTGAATAGGAATTTGCCCTACTTCTGTCTTACCAGTGCTTCTGTTAATTTGTTTAATGATTCTTTTTTCCCCTCTGGTAACATCTATTTCTTTTGGTTTTAGAGAAGGATGATGTGTGCATCTTCCAAGAGGTCACAGTACTGAATCCTGGACAGTCAGTGATTCAGTACTTGGATGGAGACCTTTGTTACACTGTACAGTGTTTACAAGAAAAAGATCAGAACACAGGCTACAATGCCATGCATTTCACAATGATGAACTGCTCCCAGCAATGTGAAGCTGTGAGTATTCTTAAAATACAGGATTATGCAATTTGTGAACACAACTGCACAACTAGGATAAAAGTTTTAGTGAAGACTTTTGCTAGTCCTGTTTACTCAGCAAGAACTTGAGAATTTAGCAGTGATGATGTGTATCATGTGTCTGCACAATTATTTTGAGGCAGTTTCTAGCAGCCTATGTAAACAAATCTGTTTAACTGTCCATCCATCCATCCATCCATCCATCCATCCATCCATCCATCCATCCATCCATCCATCCATCCATTGTTTTCCTCGGTGTTTTTAATTTCAGAAATCAAAGAATTTTCATATAATGTATGTTTAAAAAGTACTAGCTTGTCTATTTCCTTTCCTTTCTTTCCAGCATCAAGTATATATTCCTTCCTTCAGTCACCATACTTGTTGTGGTACGTGTCAAAATGTGTCCTGCTCTTTTCATACAGAGAATGGAACACTGATTTTGTATGAGGTAAGTGCCTCTGAACAGAGATAAGAAGTAACTGTAATGATACAATAGACAGGAGTCTGACAGGCATTTCTAAGTTAACTGATGCAGTCATTCTTGCTTCATCTTCTCCTTACTGCTGGTTACACGCTAAGAGACTATTTATGATGTATGATTGGAACCTGCCATTTCACACATGTAAATATCTCATAGCTTGTAATATTTCCTGCAACGATCTGCAAATCATTTACTTAAGGCTGGATATGCTCTAACTGCAGAATTGTGACTCTATATTAGGTACTGCGATTTACAGGTGTTGAGAGCTTCTAAGTCTACATCAGGACTTCTATGTCCCCCTCTTCTGAGGGCCACTTTTCTCTTCCTGCTGGTTACTACAGAAAGGATAAGTGCAAATTGAGGCTCTGGGGTTCAGAGTCTTGATGGTGTGCTCCAGTGTCCACATGCACAGAAATTTAGATGTGGCCATGACTTGGTTCATAATTCCAATTGTTTTCAGAGCAAAAGAAATGACTGAACTGGCACAAAGTCCTTTCATTCTGCAGTAGGGCACCCATGCTCAGCAGCATGCTCAGCATGGAGAGTAGAGCCATGGCTCCAGGGAGGAGTAGCCTCTGGTAATTAGAGGATGGTCTTTCCTTTTTGCCACCTACTCGTGGTCTGCAGCAGACTTTCCACTCCAGTAGATGCTACAGCATGAGGGCACTGCTTTTATAGATATTTTGGGTTGGAAATAAAGCTGAAGTGTTTTGGCTTTCCTAACAACAGCTTTGTTTTATATATTCAGGAAGGAAGCATGTGGACCTCCAACTGCACCAACTACAAATGTGTTAAGACTGCTGCAGGGGCTATTGTACTGGGATCAAGTGTTGTCTGCCCCCCATTTAATGACACTGAGTGTACAAAGGTTTGTACTTTGAGTAAGGTAAGTGACAATAATTGCTCTGGAGTTTGGCTTGCACTCCAAAATGCAGGCAAACTTCATGCACTTTCTTTAAATTAAAAAAGTGGTAAGTAAAAACATGTAAATGAGCAATTTGCAGTCATTTCCTATACTCCTATTTTCTTTCCAACTGACAAATTATCTGTGAGGAGTGTAAAAGTTTGGCTTGGGTATTGTTGATGACTGCTTTTAGAACTGGAATCATGCTTGACATACCACTATAAAGAGTGGTAATCACTATGTCTTGCCTTATTTTGGAATAATACTTTGCCAAGTTCATAGAACACACACAATAAATAAATCAGATCTATAAATCAAAAAAATGCTCCATATAAATGTCAGCTATATTAAGAAGCCCTTAAGTTGTGCAATGATTAGGGAGGTGACTGAGTATAGATAAACTTTATTAGCTCTTAAACTAAAATTTGTGTAACCTAACAAAAAATATCCAGGGTATCTACCTACATCATATATTTAAAAATATAAAGGTGGCATATCCATATAAACTGCTTTGAAGGACATCTATTCTTCACAAAGGTTGCATATTTGTTTACGGTTTAATTTCTAATTTAATAATTCTCTAAATTTATAATACCTGTCAAATTTTTCACTTGCAGTACATTTTATATTTAATATGAGCTACAAATAATAGTAAATATGTATGTAGAAAGGGTAAGTACCATTGTTGCCTTGGCTACAGATTATGCATTTAGTACTAGTCCTACTTATCCCTTCCATTTATTTCTTCCAGTCCTGAAGAAAGTATTCTATTTAAAAATAATGCCTGTACTACTTTGAGTTAATGCCTGAATTTCTTCCTTGGAACCATTCTGACACCATTCAGATCTATTAGGTTAAGATTTTAAAGAACAGAGCCCTAAAATTAACTTTCTGAATCAGTCTGACCTGTTTTTGAGAGATGCTGAGCATAGGCTTGAGCCATTAGCTGAGAAGAAAGTTTTTCTCACAGGCAGTTCAGGATAATTCAGGAATATCTGTGTTTAAGTGCTCTTTTAAGAAGTTCTTGAACAACTTATTTGATGTAAGGAGGTAAAAAATATATGCTTGCATGAAAAGATAGAAGCTGAAAAATGTCTGTCTTTTGTCTGTTGTTATCCTAAGATAACATCAGCAATAGATAGCATCTATTCATCTTCTGTAGTCTGCTTGATGTGCAGATCTGGGCTACTCACATGTATTTTTGAAACTGTCCTTATAAATCTCCATGGTGGGGAAATGGATGATAGTAGATTATATAAAAACATGCTTATAGAAACGAAATGATTTCTTCAAAGGAAACTAAATCAGATGTCAACTGAACACAATTGAAATTGTCATCATAATGAGCTCATTTTCAGTGTCAAAGGCTCTAAATAATTAATGAAACAACCCTTCAGGTGACACATATCTGTGTAATTCTGTTGATTTCAGTGTCACTACTTTGTATTAGTTTGATGTCTTTAAAATGTGGAATATCTTGAGATAAAATTTCCCTTTGTATTAGGTCCAGACTTTTTTGCTATATTCTTCTTTTATTTTCCTAGAATGGAGGAATTGTGCAGACGTATAATGATGGCTGCTGCAAGACCTGTAAGTGATGAAGGCTGCAATATGTGCTAGTTTAGCTTTGGTTTTGGAGGGCTTATTTTTTAACCTTTGTTGCCGGGACATAAAGAGGGAAAAAGCATGCAGTTCCCCCTGCAAATCTCATAAAATTGTTGTAGTTATCTAACAACTCTTAAGAGATCTTGCTTAATTTGGCTGCTGACTTGGTGATTTTTAACATTATTGTTCTGGAGTATAATCAAATCTCTCCAAATATAACTCATGGAAGATTAAAATTGTCTCAATTAAAACAATTAAAATATTCTCTTAAGTTGGCTCTCAAATAGTTCCTATATGATCTTCACCTTAAAAGACAAGAATTTTCCTCTTAGAAGTGATTCTTGATTCAATGATATTTTGCAATGCATCTTCAAACTTAGCAATTTATTCTGTATGCCTAATACATATTTTCTAGGTCCAAAATACTGGAATGTTTTTCTTAAATCCAAAATGAGGAAAAATTAGAGAAATATTGATGATAGCAATGCTTATATAAAATCAACCTTTTAATATCTGGTAATACATTCACATTTTCTGTGTGTAACTTTAAAATATGATTAAATGTGACTCAAAATGACAAAGCTTTCACAATTTATTCAATTTTAAAAATCGATTGAGAACAAACTGGTTTTCTCTGCAGTTTTGACTAGAACTAATTTTTATTATCTCCTTATATAATTATGCATGTGTGTGTATATATATGTTTATGTTTTTTAAAACTAATTCTGTAGAGCAAGGACGTGTTCAGCATTACAGAAAATCTTAACCCTCTGTTTTGGCCTTTTTTATGTTCAACAGTAGAGTAAAAGCAAATTAGTCTTTGGAATTTTTGTATACAAACTTTTACTTAATATTATTGAATAGCAAGTTGCAGACTTATAACCATATATTGCACTGTTATTACGTAAAACTGAAGTGCAATATATTGAATATAATTTGGAGAAATAAGGGGAAGTATTGATATTTATAAAGCACAGAACAATGCCAAACTTCCAAGCTATGTGATTCTTAGAAAGGAAACTGCAAACATTGTTGTTCCATTGTAACCAAAACATGGAAAATTAAAGCTATTTTAATGCAACAGAATATGTCTTATCGAGAATCACCATAGAGAAGTAACATACCAGAATTTTACTAAAATCTTACTAATCAATAATCTTTCTCTCATGAGATAAACTGTGTGGAAAAAAAAATCTGCCCCCCTTGCCCCCCAAAAAATTGGTTGTCATTATTTAGAAAATTAGTCTTAAAAATTATTAAAATTATTGACTGCTGGTTCTCTGCTGACCAAGAAGATTTATAATTTTGGCCATATTCTGTGGCCTCAGGAAAGGCATTGTTATACTTCAGAAATACTTGCTGAGGTGGCTGCTAAAACTGCCAGATATCATCCATACAATTATATGCTATTTTATTTTTATTTATTTTTATTTTTAACTAAAAGCATGTGCCCTGTGGGGAAGCAGTTAAGAGTACTTATGAATAGAGCTTGCAACACATTGGGATTTTAATGGGAGCAAATAACTTTTCTGAAAGAGCTTGATTTAATGCATGCAAAGTGAGTGCACATATTTAATTCTTACCTTGCCATAGACAGACTAATTCCAAAAGTTTGGTTTAAAAGTAAGCATTCCAGTTTTGTGTTAACCAGGATAATAATAAAGTACAGGCCATCTTTAGTGAAACTTGAAGCAGCTGCAGAGTTTAAAAATTGTAGAAGACTAACAGGAAAGCTCATCATCTTTTGCTAAAAGAAAAATTGCAGTTGGCAGTGTAAGAATTAATGAAGTATCATTTATACAGAAATGTTTTTATTTCATGAGAATCTTCTATTCCTAATGATTCTGCCAGGTTCTGGATTGGGTCTATTACCCTTTGCCATTAGTCCAGTAGTGCCTACTGATAGTATTAATTGTGAACCAGGTATTATTTTTAATAATGTATTTTCTTTCCTTTTTTTTTCTTTTGAAAATAATATAAGAACTGCTTGATATATGTGTCATAGCTGTCATCATTACTGGATATTACCATGCAGTTAATGGTTCTGGGCCTGATTCTGAGAGATGCTGATCCTCTGCTGCCTTCCCAAATCAGTGTTTTTCTAAAACCTGGTTAAGATTCACTGCTCAGCACCTGTCAGAATTAGGTTCATCCATTTCTGGTACATGCTGTTGATGGTTATTCCTGCTGCTCATTGTTGAAACTGGTTTTATCACATGAACTTACTGTACAGGATAGTTTTAATAAGAAATGTTACTTTAAAAAAACCCATAATTCTGAATTCTCTTACCAAGAGATTCTAAAACTGATCCCAGGTCTCTAAATTTAATGATGGAAATCTTTTTGCCTTAAAAGAGCAAGAATGTGTGTTATTGTCTGGTGTCACTTTGCAGATATGGATTCATGCTGTATTTCTTCTTTGTCACAAATAATATATTTTACAGAGTTACAAAAATACTGAGGGCAGGGGTGGGGAGGGGGACACAAAGCATACAATTACAATCCCATGGCAATACACACTTTTTATACCAGATATTACAGAATGTTACAGAACTGTTGCAGTACACTCATAATTCTGTGCTTTTTAGGATAGATGAGTCACAAAAACTCCTTCCTCAGATAAGGAGTGGGTAAACAAAGCACATCTGATACTGAAATGCAGATCTTTACAGATCAAGGCTGGAGAGAGGAAAGTATAGCAGCAGAGCTTTTGTAAGACATCAGCACTTTGTATGCTGAAATGTTAGATACACATCTCTATATGACTTGTAGCAGTACAAGGATTGCACTGTCTACACATAAGCTGGCAAACACTTTCAGATTGAAACATCACAGAAAATTTTTGAAGTGTTTCTGAGAAAGGAAAAGTGAGATGTTATAGTCTAACGACTTCTCTCCTACAGTGATCTGCTAGTTCAGTAAGAGAATTTAGTTTGATTCTGTAAGGCACCTGTTAAAATCTAGCTGTACTCTGCAGCCAACTTAATTTTCAATACTAGTGGTTGCAGAATATTTTGGTTGCTCAGAGATCATGTATCTTATAAAAGTGCTCTCAAGCTTCTGGGGAACAGAGGAGTTGTTTTTCTGTACACCCAACCTTGAAGTAAGGTCAAGAAACTGCTGAATAGTGCTTGTTATTTTATATGCTGCATGTCCAGTATGGTTACACAGCAAAACTAGCAGATCATTTTGATGGGGAGTGGATAAGGAGATCTAAATAACTGCTGTTATACAGATAGTAATAATGGTCTGATACAGAGTGAAGCATGAAAAATTATATGTTTAATTGTTTCGGTATTGTATTATGACTTTGAATATGTTAAAAAATGGCTTTTCACTGTACAGTTTTATTTTTCAAAATAAAAAAACCCTAAAACCCTCCTATCGATATCTCCAAGACTGAATATAAAAATTCAGTATTTCCCTCATCCTAGACCTGTATGCTGACCTAATATGCTACATGCTTCAGCTCTGGTGATAAAAAGTGCACCATATTTAGCAAATAAATGCATGTCTTCCTTTCAAAGCTTCATAAAAGGACACATTTCTCAAAATATATCAAAATAATATAATTACATTTAATTTTTAGCCATGAAAATAGCATGAAGATTGTAAGCATGTTCACACTTTCACCTTCTTAGATGTTAAGTTTTGATAATTTTTTAAATGGCATGACCAAAATCCTATTTGCATTCAACATTCCCAATAAAATAGAATTAATTCTAATACTATTAAAAATGACTCAATACATTTTTTCTAATTGTGTATATTTCTCTTGCCATATGTTCAATCTAAAAACATATTCATAGTTTAATAGTTTATAGCTTATAGTTTTATAAACTATAAGGCATATTCATAGTTTAATGTTTAAAAAATTTGTATAGCTTATTTGGGGCATTTGATGCTCACATGCACCACTGAAAAATAGGTTATACTGCACAGCACCTATGTATTACTATATTATATTTAAAAAGAAAATTATGGAAGTAATAATTTCTGTGTGTTCATTATTGAAAACGAAGTGTAACTATTTAAATTGTGTTAATATCTTTAATTTTTTTAAGAATCAAATACATTACAGAAGATATATTGATTCAGTATGCATTTTTTGTATTTTATCAGGCAAAAAGGAAGAAAGGATTTGCCAGAAAATGACAATCAGGACAACCATAAGAAAAAATGACTGTATAAGTCAAAGCCCGGTAAGCATAAAATTTCAATGCTGGGCCTATGGCATGACAAGCCAAGCATTAGAAAGTTGGTTATAACTAACAACAAGCAACAAAATGTGCAGCTTTCTCATCAAAAGCAAAGCCTTGATTCTAGGAATGTTATCCTACCATAAATGGAGTAAAACTAGCTATTTCTATTACTGAGCCCTCCCACCTGGAGGAACACCTGGCTTCATATTAAACATACCGACTATAATTACTTTAACTAATGGAGGCACTGAGCTGTTCAGTGTGAAATAATATCCTGCTCTAAAAGAGGAGCAGAAATGTTCCAACTTAAAATGGGATGAAACTGCTGCACTCCTCTTTGAAGACCTTTATGCTCCCTGTCTTACCTCACATTGCATAGGTTTCCATATCATAAATTCATAATGCCATTTATTTATGAGTCTGCTTAAGACACCTTATTTCTCAGCTTTGGTGTCGCCCCATCTACAGACCCCAGGAAATTTCTGAGCAGCAAATGTGCTTCTCATGTAGCACTTGGAAGGGAAGCAATTGACAAAGTATCTCAAGACTTCCAAAAGTCTTCTGGCAAGATTCTGTTGGAGAATCTAAGCAGTCATTAGGGAAGAGGCAAAATGTCATCACATGTTAAAAGCCATCCTGATAGAAGGTCAGTGGTGACATGGTCAGATTTTAATTGTAGGAATGCATTGTAGGTGTATTTATTTAGTTTTAGAAGGACTGATATTGAGGAAGTATAAATAGATGAAATTAGAGTAATTTTCCATAGTTAAGAGATGAGTCTGGGGCGTTTCAGTGTTACTTCAACAACCTAGGGTAAGAGACAGTAATACAACAAAATAAAGACATGGTATTGACTAAATAAAGAATATTAAAATGGAAGATTTAGTCAAGCCTCATAGTTTTTTTAAGCTAGGTGAAAAGCTAGCTTGCCCTTTCATCTAGTTCTGTGACAAGCTCTGCTTTCCTGCCGACAAAAAGGCTAAAAGCTATGGCATTTAGGCAAATGGATAGGCAGTGGAAACAAGCTCATTCTAGTGTCTTTTATGAATAAGTTCTGCAGTATGAGAGAGGGCTCTGTTCAGCTGTGGTCCCTCTACATTGCTGCAGAACTAAAGTGTTCAGAGAGGAGCAACAAGAATGTTGGCCAGGTCATGTCTTGAATGGTACATCAAATGAAGCCTTCCTTTTCATCTCTCTGTTGTAAACTCTTTATCTTTTCCTCCCTCTCTACCTTCCAAAAACACCTGCCACCATCCCACCTTTATTAGAGCCCCCTTTTCCCAGTATCTCCTTGTTCCCAATTTCCTTGGTGGCTGAATATCCTTCATACAGTCCAGGTTCCCTTACCCTTCCCACAGAAGTACCTCCAGATTTTCATGTCCTCAGACCCTAAACTCCCCTTCCTCTCCTCTCCAGCTCCCCCACTGGCACTCTTTTTCCATCATGTGATTTTGCCCTATCAAATGGTGGTATCTGATGTGACTGGCAGGAAGCTGCATACATGTTCTTGGCCAGGCTACTGCTGTCAAACTTTGGATAGGGCTGAGCATGATTATGTTTTATAATTAATAAGTGGGATTGCTAGTGCTTAGGAAAAAGTCTTTTTTTACTCCTGCCAAATCTCAGGAAATTTCACAGTTATAAGAGTAATCCTTTAGTCTAATTTGTATGGGTATGGGAGGTTTCATCACAGGCTTAGGAGTAGATCAAAGCATCTTTCATATGCCCCACCCACAGAAGAAATCAGATTTAAGTCTGTCACAAAGAGAACTAGACCTTGTATAGCCATCCTTGATTTCCCAGCATTTGAACTCTGCTTAAGTTTAATTAAAAAGTATTTTTTTCCTGTCAACATATCAGCTAAGAAAATTCCTCACATAATGTAACAGTGAGAGAAAGCTTTGCTCTGCTGAAGTCTAGAGCACAAATAATTTTCTAGATAGCCTGAGCTGGTTTGTTACTGCATGTACTTTTTGGATATTTTTCTTTGAGTGATAACACAGCCCTCAGTCACAAACAGTACAAATAAGAAAGGGAAAAGCTTTTGCGCTGATATGCTTTTTCTCTTTCAAGGAAAAAGATAAACTTCCCTTCATTTTACTTAGAATAATTTAACTTTTTATCTGTGAACATGAAAAGGACATGGATTCAGCTGTGCTGTTCCAAAGTTATCAATGATGATTCAATTTTGGTATCCATAGCACAAGACTGAAACAAAACACATGATTAAACAATAAAGAAAAGTTTAATTAAAAATATTTTAAATGTGGCTAAACTTAGAATGAATGAATTTTAGAAGATAAAATAATTTTTAAGACCAGAGTCCTTTTCAAATGTAAAAATGGGTTTTAATCACAATGAAGTTTGAAATGTAATATTTTTATAATAAAATTTCAGACTTCTAGTTTTAATTCTCATTCTTATTTTCTTCTATTTTACTCATAGGTAAATGTGGCTTCATGTGATGGAAAATGCCCATCTGCAACAATTTTCAACGTCAATATTGATAGCCATCTAAGATTCTGTAAATGTTGTCGAGAAATTGGAACACGAGTCGTGACTGTGCCCTTGCGCTGCTCAGGAAACGGCACCGAAATTATGTACGTCATTCAAGAGCCCATAGACTGCTCGTGCCAGTGGAACTGAACCTTGCTGTGGACATGATTTGGCTTTCAGCAGACACAGTTTTTTGGTCATGGATGGGTATAGTACTCTGCAGAGAAATAGAAAAGGCATCAGTTATGCTTTATAATGTAACTTTTCCCAAATTTAGGAAAGATGTTTGTTTTTCAAATTGTCCTTGAAAATATTGGCAAGAATAGAAAGAAAAACATAAATCCTGTTGAACAAGGTGTAGTTTATCCATCATTTATTTCTACTCAGTGGCTTTCTGATGAAGTGGTGAAAAAAGCTGGTTAGTATTTCCAGTATTTTAAATTTTGGATCATGGATACCTATCAAAGTAGAGAATTTCTCAAACAATTTCTCAGTAGTTCATTTTCTTGGAGGCCTCCAGCTGAAAACCATCACCAGTCCTATGTTTAAATTGGAAAGAAGCATATTAGGATTTTGAAAATGACTGAATTAACTTATTTTAAAAATACTGGGTTCAACTGTAACATTTTTACCTTGCTCAAAAATCTATCCTTTGTCCAGTAAGCTATTGTCAATGGTTGGATTCTGCTTACACTGTAAGCCACTGAGATACAACACGACTGTGATCTGTAAGTACTTGTAGGAAACCTCCAGAGTATATAGCAGAATCATAATGTCTTGAAACTTAGATGTGTTTAATTTTTATGTATATTATAAATATTAATTATGACTAGGCAAAGGCTGAAGAGTGATAGCTTTTGTGCGTTAAAAATATCTGAAAGCCATTTCTGCTGTGAAGGTTTCCATTTTATATCCATTTTTTCACTTTTCACAGAAAAGAAATTGGTTGTTTGCTAGTATAGAAGATTATATGTATATATATTTATTAAAAAACCCCATAATACTGCACATTTAAAATATTCATAATGCATTTTGTCTTTGTTTTCCAGTCTGAAGATTTGTGTTCAATGTATTTTTAATTTTTTTTTTCAATACAGATATTTAGATTATTGCCTGAATTCAGGATTCATAATTTTTGAGTCCAGGAAAAAAATTCAGATAAAATAAATGTTTTAAAGGACTTAGGTGAGTTATTCATGCTCAATCAAGCTACAAATATCGATGATTCAGCACCTTAAGGTGAATATCATCTTCCTTTTACTCAACATACTACATAACCTGCTTTTAAAAATAAAGGATACAAGTTTAAACTTGTTTTTAGAAGATTACTTTGCTTTATAAACTCACAGAATGAAAATTATATTAATTATGACAGTATTTTCCTTATAAATTTTCCTTTTAACTGTGTCAGAATTGAAATTCTTGTCTATAAGTTTGAAAATCTTCTGACAGTTTTGATTTCAAGTTGTCATAATTTAACGATGAAAAGGTTGGATTATCACATGGGTTATTACAGTGAAATATAAGCAATTCAAACTGCCTTAAAGTCCAAGGCTATTTTTCTACTTTGTGTGACAGATTTTAATTGTTTGCTACATTCGGTCTGATGGCTAATAAAGACAAATAGCTTGTACAGAGAAATCTGTTGTTATTAACAAGATCTGTCTACTCATCCCTATCATTAAAAATATTGACTTGGTTTAAAAATTAAATAGCAATCCATTGTAAAATATTGGCAAAACAGTTAACCATTATAAAGAAATAATGATCAAATAATGATCAACTAGTAATCTCAAATTGACACTTTGAGGAAGCCTATGCTTCCTGTGCATGTTTTTATATTTGTAAGGCAGATATTTCAAGTTGTATTATGTACCAGGGCCTAGAACCAAAATATTCTCTGATACTGCTGTCAGAATTTGTGCATAGAAACTTTTCATGCAGGCAAGAAATAAAAGTTAAATCATAGTCATAGCTGTAATGGTGGTGTACTTGTACAGCAAATTAAAGGACAACTTAAAAAGAAAACATACTTTTGATTTTTTGGGATAAAAGTAAGTATCCTATACTTGCATTAAAAGATTTTGGCCCAAATCTACTTAACGAATTTAGTATTTAATAAAAAGAAAGTTCTCAAAATATAGTTTTTCAATGTCATCATCAAACATTTTCATTGAACAGCTCTGGCATTTTATAAGCCATGAAGGCCATTTGCTTTTCTAAGATTAAGAACTGTGTTTGTGATTGAAAATAATTTAATAAACATTATTTTGCAGAGTAATAATAAATCAGTGTTGATGCAATTAATTAAGCTTTGCCACTAAGATGAATGCTAATGCAAAACCTTAGGAAAGCCTGGAAATTATAAAAGAAGTTATGTTTAAAATTAACTTCATGAAAACCTGAAATAAGATAAATGCTATTGAACTTTTTTTGTTCCCACTAAGATAATTTGTTTTTTTAGATAAAACAATGAGTAGGGACTGTGTCAGGATTGTCCCTGGAGCCTACAGCAAAATCTTACATCTTCAGTGGAGCTGGATAGGGGGGCTCTAAGATTGTCTTTCATTTTACAGTTAAATTTCAAACTTGGGCTGCTTTGGCTTTGAGAGAAAATGAACACCTGTTAAAACCCAGGAACCATTTCCTGGAGGGCCACCCAGCCCTTTTGCCTCCAGGAAGGTGGCACTGGCAGAATGTGATGTGTTTTGTGTAATGTGAATGAGCCCTTGCAGGCCTTGCACCAGAGACAAGGCTTGAATGAGCCTGTGGGATGAGTGAGTGTGGCAGGACTGCTCTGCTCCACATTTCCTCTGTCTGAAACCTACATGTAACCACACATGCAGTTTGGTTCTGTCTTGGCTTTCTCATGTCTCTTCGACTCTGCATTCCTGCCTCAAGCCCTATCCTCAAATTTTGCGTAACTCTGTTTGCACAAGTGTGAGCTTGTGAGCTGCTTTGGAAAGTAGCTTTTTTTTTTTTTGAGTTGGATCCAACTCACATCTTATTTAGTCAAATACCAAAATTAATTAGTTGTTTATTATTGACCAAAAGAGCTTTAACAGCCACAGAGTTCCCTCCCTTGTACCTGCTCTGAAACTAAGACTAGCATAATTTCTATTGCCCTAAAAGGAAGGCTGGGAAGGCATGCTCCTGAAACTCCCACACTGCCATTGAAAAATGCAAGGAGCTGTGCACCATGCAGTGGAGGCCTTGTGCTGCAGTCCAACCATGCCTTGTCATTTGTCCCATTTGTAACTACTTCCAGGGGCCCTTCGTTCCTACAGTTCTGTTCTACCTGTGCTTGAAAAGAAATCATACAGTATAAAGGCTTAGCCATAAAACTATACAGATATTTTAGGGATTAACATAAAAGGATCTCTACAGTTAGAATCAGATTGTAACTGAATGTTCTTCTATAAAATGGTAAGTCTCTCTGCCATGTTATTTATTTTAGACTTTTATAATTCCATTGCCTTTTTTACCAGGTAATTTGTTAAGACCATCTATAGTCCCAATACACAATCAGAATTTGAAGCACAGATTTTAATATTAGGTATAAGGCACTTACTGTGTGGTTTCATTAATAAAATCTGAGACTACAGCTATACAGGCAGCTAATATTCCCATTTTTAGCTAGCCAAATCTGTATACTAAAAATAAACAGTAAAACATAATTCATTTGCATGATTTATTTCCACATTGCAGACAGAGCTCTTCCCAAGTATATTGCACCTGATATTGGTGAAATTTTAGGGCAGGATCAGGCCTGAGGTTTGGTGTTTGAACACAGTTACAAGCACAGTAACAAGCCACACAATTTACTGAGAGGCAGAGGCATTTACAGCAACCCCCTCTGGGATTACAAGTGGCCACTGTGTTGTTCACAGTGCTTCAGCAGTGACAAAATTCTGTTTTAGATGTGGCTCCTTTCCCCCTTCTTTCACAATCCATTTTTCCTGACACTATTTTTTTTCTGTTGAACTTCTACCCTGCTGTGAAACTTAGCTTACAGAAACTTAGCTTATAGCAACTGTAATTATTTTTTTGATAATTATTTTATTATTATTCATTAGTTCTGTATAATTCTTCCCATCTCTTTTTCATCCATCACGCCTTTTGCAAGAATTTAAAGGACAAATGCAATTTCCATAAACTACAGGGATTCACCTTTGTGTAAAAACTTACTGCCAAATAAACACATAGATGCCACTCAGGAACACTGTGGCAATGGAAAACAGTGACTGGAACCAACTTTTTCAAGTCTGTCTCTTCAAAACCTTTTTCAGATGTTACCTTGAGATGCTGCTGCTGCTGTAATCATGTATGGGTGTATGTCCAAAGGAAAAATCCCACAGAAATGTGTTCTACGGGACAAAACATAAATGAGTTGTCACATGTGACCATAGAAATGCAGCCATCATGGAGGACAAAGCATGAAGGCCAGAACACTAGCAGAAAATTTGTACAGTTACACACTCCCAACTATTCTCTGGAATATATTTTCAAAAAAATTCACAAAATGTAGTTTAAAAATCTTTTGAAGGGTAGACTTCATCACATTAATGCAAGAGAAGAAAAGGTTTTATTGAGAAAAGGTAATGGTGGAGATGGTTTCTGCAAAACAGTGCGTACTAAATTTTGTCTAAACTTTCTTTAAATGCCAAGTGGAAGGTGCAACCTGTCTATAGAATAAGAAAACTTTAAAAATTATCTCTCCATTAACAGGTCACCAGATTTTAGGAAGGAAAGACATATTCAGAGCTGAAGGACAATGGACTGTAGCAAATAAGATACATTGACTAGATCTTGGCAGCAATGTACTGATCATTTAGGAACTGCCATTTTTGTCTATTTGGAAAAAAAAATTCTACATACAGACCAATTAGGTGGTCCTATATTAGCTGGAATCAGTGGTAAATTATTCCCTAAGTTCAGAGGTTTGAGAGTCCTGCTTCAAGGAGATAGTCTGAAAAAAACGTTTTCTATGTGTAGTTTCTAATTTTAAGAGTACTTTTTTTGTGGGGGAGCTTGAAGAGCTGCTTCTGTACTGATGTACTCACGCTCTGGAGAAGACCAGTAGTGAATGGTGTCATGACTTATCACTAGAAATGCTGAATAAAAGGAATGTATCTATGTTTTGGGGAGTG